GCGGTTGGAGATCAAGTGAATTCGTCGTTTTGAGGTCTGAATATGGGATGGCCCTTCAGTGGATGCAATAAGCGAGGCGAGATCAAAAGATATCAATAAAGTTTAACATTTAATCATCAGCCAACCGTCTCTCTCTTTTTTGTTCTTCTTTCCCCGCTCCCCACGTCCTTTCCTGTCCGATTTTGGAGGGGAAAAAAGTGTAAAATGGAAGCTTTGACTCTGTGCCGAAGAGCCGGGTCCTGGTTAGAGAAATCATTGAACGAACGCAGGTAAGAGCAAGAATTAAAAGAGGCTGAGTCTGATTCGGAGTAGGGACGAAAAGAGGTGAGTGCAGGTTTGGGGCCAGGCCCCGCCGCGCGGTCGGATGTAAAACGGTTCGTTTCAAGACACTGTTGACTGTCAAGTAAAAGGTGGGAGCGTCGTGTTTTGCGATAAGGCCCGGACCGCAAGCAGCCACGAGTACGCGGAAGAACCCCCAAGGTGAGAGAAACTAGAGAAATGTGAAAAAAAAAAATTTAAATTTGGCGGTGATTGCGGTGGTTTACTGTCCCAGGCCCAGGAGTGTGAGGCAGGGGCGTGTTTGGGCCTGCGATTTGGTTCATACCGTGGGCGTCGCATAGAAGTGGAAATTCTGTACGAAGAGATGGAGTTTTGTCGATTGGAGTACAGAATATTATCGTATGCTATGTGCGACCCAAAAATCGGTGTTTCAAAGCTGTTGAACCTTGCTCAATGATATTTTTTTCGCTAGACTTTTTGACGTTGGCTGTTCAGTGTGTCCTTGGTTCAAAGGTGGCTGACATAAATGATCCCAAGTGGTGCTGCATGTTCTTGAATGAGAAAGATCAATATTTGCCCAACGGAAAAGAAGGAGGACAAAGTCTCAAACCAAGCCAAGTAGTCGTGTTCGTGCTCCAAAGGCGGTTTGGAACTCGCGGCGTTTCTTGCATCGCGGGAGAGCTACGTTAGACCACCCTCAGAGGGTTGCGCCCGTGTTCAAGTCGCACCAATATCTGGGCTTGGTAATTAGTTTCTCGGCCGGATGAGCTTCCGTAGAGGGCCTGGGAAACGTCACATTCCGATAACCGACTCGTAGTCCGTGAAAGGGATGATACTCCGAGAAACGCAGACACCTGCGGAACCGAAGAGTTTCGTCAAACGCCGCCTTTGCCGAATCTTTTCCAATAGCTGAATCTGATGCTCCAAACAGCGTACTGCGTGAGGTCTGTAGTAGTTTCTTGTCTTGGCCGGGCGTAACCCGGCCATACAATTGCTCAAGTACCAGAGAGACGACATTAGCACTGCCCACCCCACCCGGCCCCCAAATCTGCATGTAAGTGCAGACGGCAGGCTGCGCCAGGCAAATCGTAGGATTTCGCGACGTAAGTGCCGCGGCCAAGGCTAAGAATATGCCGTGCAACGGCGAGCTGGTGCTCGATATGCATCAAATTCAAGGTTGGGTGGCAGAAGAGGCGGGCTCACTAGGCCTTTGCCGGCAAAAGATCGCCGGGCTGGAAAGAAGCTGTAGTCTGTACGCCCAATATGACGGTCGGTAGGGCTGCCCATCTGCACGCAGTTATCTAGAAGAGACTTTGGAGCGATGCTGTGTATGTCCCTGGCTAGTTCTTAGGCTCTCCAGAATGAGTGAATGATCGTCCAGCTGCGTTGAGCAAGGCTGATGCGGCGTGATACTGCATATGTTGTCTCTGACCAAAGATCATTCTTCTGATGATCGATTCGTGCCCGCTAAATCCCTTGCCCAAAGAACTTTGGGCAGATGACGAGAATAGTATCAACAACCGCGGTATCACCGTCTCGTCATCGCTGCCTACGGTGAGAACCTAGGTTAGGCAGCACTTTTTCTGCTTGAAGGATGATAGCTGATTGACATCGATCCATCCAAGAGACTCACCTTTGGGTCGCAGGCTCCGGCGGGCCGCGCTGAATGTCGGTGTGACCTCTCATGTTCGAATGCTGAAATCAAAGTGATCGCCAGAGCATTGAGCAAGGTCACGGCTCCATCGAGGCTGATTCGTGATCTTCCCTCATCGTAGCATCGCTCTTGTTCTGCACAAGGTCACTTGGCCGCCCTTGCTGCGACCCTGCCACGTCGAGCATGCTGATTCGAAAAATCGTAGCTTTGTTGTCGCAAAGAGAAGAAGAGAGACTGTTCTGATGCCAAAAAAGAAGAAGAAAAATGTCATGGCTGTTGCCATCCAAAGCTCCAGGTTCGACATCACCTGCAGGTTGCGGGCAAGCTCGTGGTGCGAGGTGGTCCCCGGCAATGGGAATGCGAGAACTGCCCCTCCATCCCCGCTGTCAGCTCGGGTCGTCAGCCACCCCCCGGGACCAGGGTGGCACTGATGCCTCTGGTGTCTTTGCTGGCATGTCTCTGGTGTTCTGCATGTCGAGGTAATCTTGTTGAGCTCCTCGAAACAAAGCGAGCCCTGGTTCCCCGTCTCGCCAGTCGACATTCAGGAGAAGGAAGGTACGGATACTTGGTAAAGAATTTTCCATGGCGCTCCACTGCATTGAGGATCAGCCTCTGCGCCGCTGCCGTGGGAAATAAGCTGTCAAGCGACGAATTGGAGACGTCGACGCCAGGGTCTGGAGTTCTTGAATGGTTCTTGGTCAGTCTTGGATGACGGGCCGTACTCTGTGACCATGATTTTGCCAATATTTGACTGCACGCCGCAGTCATGCGCATGGGAGGACAAGGTTCGCGGACTTTTGTCAATAGTCGGTCTGAATCGGACTGTCATCTGAGTCTGGAGCCCATTCATCGTCCACAAGCTTGATGATCCCTCCTGCTCGGCTACGTCAGCGGAGCAATAGCTGTTGGTGAACGATTTGATGTTGGTGCATCCATGAGGCGAACGGATTGGTCCCGAGGCTGCGATGTTGTGCAATGACCGAAAGGATGACTCGGAGTGAGTGAACAGACATGACAATAAAGCGCAGATCTGGAATGCGAGTCTGGATCATGGGAATGAATCACAGCAGTCGGAGCTTGTTGGTGGGCAAGTGTAACGTGCGACCTCATCATGAGGGGTCTCTGTGGATGTTACCTTGACCATGCTAGAATAGATGCCTCAGATATTTGCGGATCAGCATCCTTTGGGATTCCGTAGCTTTCTTAGGTGTTCCTGGTCAGATTGAGCTGCCTATTGCATATCGAAGTACAACTCTATGAGGGCGGAAAGCAAGGCGTACCACCATAGGGTAAAGGCGCAGAGAACTACCTGATGGAAGGAAGAAGAGGGAAGAAAAAAAAAGGTATACGTCCCCCTCTTACACCAGGAGCTTCAGGTATCTCTGGAGGACCAGACGAAGGAGGAATGGAGGAGGAAACTAAGGAAAGACCCGCACGTGGCGGTGCGCGATGTGCAGATTTTCCCAATTAGGGGCTGCGGATACCAGGGTATCCCTCCTGCCCGGGGATCAGTCCTAGTTGTCCCAGCCAAGAGACCCAAGACAGAGGGGGACATGGGGCTTGCAACACCCTTTAAGCCCCTGGTCATAGCACCCGTGGCTAATGGAAGGCCCGGATACCGATCTCTGGTTCCTGGGCGGTGGAACTTGGCGCCGCTGTGAGTGTGACAGTCTCACAGTCTCACTGCTCACTGCTCAGGCGCTGGCTCGATGGGTTCGGGTTCAAGGTTCATCACAAGTGCCTTATCGCCCGATAAGCGGTCCAGAGCTGTACGTACCTTAGGAACCTACCTAAGGTAGTGTACCTACCTTACCTCGAGCATGCCCAGGATGGGACAAACCACCAGGTACCTACCTTACCTACCTTACCTTCTAAAGTACCTCGTACCACAGATGCAGTTGGTGCGGTCTCGCGCCGCCCGCCAACACAGCATAACGTACAATCTTGTCTGAAACACCATCTACCGCCAGTCACCTTTACACATTCAGCTCTCAAGCTCCCCATCCCCAAAAGACTCCAACGACTCCCAAGCAACCAAGACTCCCAAAGAGTCTCCGAGCTGGCGGTAGACCCTCGTCCTGTTCGAATCTCTTCCAATGAACGACAGCGCTTACCGACCCGCTCGCTCTCCAAGGAACCGCTGTTCAAACGCCCTTGCCTTGTCTTGCCCCTTTTGCTATCCGTACTCCAAGTTTGCTCTTCTATCCTTTGCCCTTTGCTACTGAGTACGGCTACTTGGTACTTTCGATTCTTTGCGCTTTGCCTCTCTGGTCATCATCTCATCCCATGCTCCTTGGTTCTTCCTCCTTCTCCTCCCAGATACACCAACTGGCCACCACAGTCTGACCCCTGACTGTGATCTTCGTACCTCTTTGCCGGGTAGCCCCTGTCAGGGCGCAGCCGCGTGCGATGTGCTGGCTCGACGAGAAGGCAGCTCCTGATCCCAACATCAGATGAAGCCTTGTTTTGTTTTGTGCTTGTTTCCAGGCTGCGAGTAAAGACACACGCAAAGAGGATCATGGCGCTGTCATCGCAGGATCAGGACGTTGGCAAAAGCCGCGCCTGCGCCAGCTCCAGCTTACATGTATTCTTTCCTTCCTCTTCCTCGTCATCCCACCTTGACGCTGATCTTGACCTTGACGACATCTCCGCTTCTTCCAACCCATCATCTTCATGCTTCCATTACTGCTGCTGCCACTTCCGCCCCAGCTTTCCACTTTCTCAGAGCCCTGCTACCAAGATTGCCGTCCAGGATCAGCATTACCGTCCCTCCTCATCGCCTTGTCCGTACCCGCCTTCTTCCCACCACCTCCATTACTGCTGTGCCGGTCCACCAGTTCGGAGGAAACCTGGACAAGGGGCACATGGACCGGAATCCTCGCCCGCTCCTGATATATTTAACATCCCGGCCATTCTCTACCGAAAGCGGCCTCTCCTTGCCCTCGCCATCGCAGCTAATACATATATCCTCCTCCACTACTCCTCTCACTTCTTCACCTCGAGCAGAGAAGACCAGACGAATTGTCCCGCCTCTTTACTCAACTCCTTATACTTAATAATCATCAACATGGTCGCCAACGTTGGAGGGCTCGCAGCCCGGGCAGTCTTTCTCATGTCCACTCGTCCCATTGCCCAGAGAGCAGACGTCGCCTCATACACCAATAATGCCGTTGCCGCCATCCGCACGCTCGAGACGACCTGGTATGACGTTGGCTCTGGTCTTTGGGACAACGCCTGGTGGAACAGCGCCAACGCCTTTACCACCCTCGCCGACTTCGCCAACCTGAACCGGGATGCTGCTAACGAGCTCAACATCGGAGGCATCCTCATGAACACATTCAACCAGGCTCAGAAGGCCACAGCATCAGCTTCCAAATCTATCAATGCGGCTGGTCTTGTCACAACCTCATACGCCATCACCAAGCGCGAAGTGCCGCTGCCTATCGAAGGTCGCCAAATGAGCGCTCAGGGCTTTCCCAACTTTATCAACGAGTTCTATGACGACGAGGGCTGGTGGGCGCTCGGTCTGATCCGCGCCTACGATGTTACCCAGAACCAAGACTACCTCGACATGGCCGTGCGCATCTTTGCCGATATGAAGACCGGCGGTAATACCAACTGCAATGGCGGCATCTACTGGAGCAAGGACCGCAAGTATGTCAACGCCATCGCCAATGAGCTCTACCTCAGCGTCGCCGCCTCGCTGGCCAACCGCATCTCGGGCGATAAGGCCAGCTACGTCAAGATCGCGACTGATCAGTGGACCTGGTTCAAGGCCACCGGCATGATCAACGCCCAGGGCACCATCAATGACGGCCTGGACGGCAACTGCAAGAACAACGGCGCCAACGTCTGGTCCTACAACCAAGGTGTCGTCCTTGGCGGTCTCGTCGAGCTCAGCAAGGCTAATGGCGACAAGTCGGTCCTGACAGACGCCACCAACATTGCCAAGGCGGCTATTAAGCAGCTGGCCGACGACAACGGCATCCTGCACGACACGTGCGAGCCCAACTGCGGCTCTGACGGCAACCAGTTCAAGGGCATCTTTGTTCGCAACCTGCGATACCTGCAAGAGGCGGCGCCCAACAACGACTTCAAGACCTTCATCACCAAGAACGCCGACAGCAACTGGAACGCCAACCGCGACTCGGCTGGCAAGATGGGTGTCGTCTGGTCGGGCCCAGCGCAAGGGGTTTCCGGGCCGACTCACAGCTCGGCACTCGACTCCATCGTTGCCGCCGTTGCTGTCGCGTGAGCGAGACTTCTTTTGAGAGATCAATTGTTCTCAGACCTTTGGATCAACATCATCATCATCATCGGGCAGGCGTTGGAAATTTTGCTTTACTTCATATGGCCGCTCTGCAACACACTCCTTCTTTCTAATTGGGCGCAGGGAAACAACGGCAACGAATGGATTAGACTTGACCAAGAACGGGATACCCCTCAGAACACACGGACACTCCTTTGATGCCCCAAGCTGAGCAAAGACAAGGCCAGCTCGGGCGGCGCACAGGAGGGTTTTGCTTATTGTTAATAATGACTCTAATGAGTAATGATACCATAGTTTCGTTTTGGATAGTCGTTTGGCTAGGCTTGCACAGGAGCAAGCGAGCATACTGGGGCACAGACGTGTAAGAAACAATACTACATGATCTTCCACCACATACATACACGATTTGATGATCACCAGTTCTGCGAGACTCATGACTTCACCCAAACAGATGGTCGCCCTCACTGGATCCACAACAGCAGGAGAATTATCTCGAGCTAGGCCTTCCATCGATTAAAGGAGACATTCTAGAAGGACTAAGCGTCAAGGGGTGTCTCCACGGTGGTATCGGCGTAGGAGTTTAAATTGGAGTTGATGCAAACTCTAGAGAGTCAAAAAAGGAGATCTCCCGGAACGATCATCCGTTGGTTCGTTAGCTCGTTCGCGGGGGGGGGGGGGGCTGTGAACTGGTAGTATGCGAAAGAAAATTATTTCTGGCGCAATGCTGATCGCTTCCGCTTTAAATTGCCCGCGGGAGATCGTTCGGGGGGTGATCGGTTGGTTGGTTTTTGGTGGTTTGTTATGCGGGGGAAATTGAAATTGGAGACGATCACGGGTTTGTGTTTCCCCCCTTGTTCCTGTCAGGCAAAGCTTTTTTTGCTGTATTAGGGATGAGACCTTCACAATCAGAGTGACTGGTTCTACGTCAGGATGGTTTGTAAGGTATTCAGGCTCGTGTGCCCTTTTTCTTTGCATGATGGCTTGTCAGTTCATCCTTTTTCCCTTAGCATCTACTTCCATCCTACGTTAGTAAGGAACTTGCTTGAAGGATGGTATTGAAGCTCGCACTACTCCGTGCAGTCGATCGAAACCAGTTCGTCTCGCTGATGAGCATATTCGATCCCATCATGCTAAGGAGAACGAATATGTAAATAAGCATTATATGCGAAGATGGGGTGAAGTCTTGGCTCCCCAAGTTTCTGTGGGGTTCTGACTCCAAATATCCCTGCAGAGGCAGTCAATGATCCGCGCATCCTCCCATCTCCTACCGCACATTAACACCAGCCAACCTGCAAAGCCAGAACTCTGTCCGACGCTCTCAGTCAAGCCACAGCTTCACTATGATACACAACGCGCGTATTCCCAGCCAAGGGAAAATCCCCAAAGACAACAGAGCCCCCACTCATTGACTTTTCGAAATAGCTCTTAGAGCTTGCGACATCTCATCCCCCACCCTCCCCCCTTCCGGGCCCTTCTGGTTGGAAGTCGGAGCTGAAGCTCCCGTTGCTCACACAACATGCCAATAATTCGACGCAGTGAGACATCACTCTGGCGCGTATTTTACCTAAGGCAAGGTACGACGAGGCGAGGGGGTTAAGGTAGGTAAAGTTGTGTGCGCGCGCGCGCCAATCACTGCAGTAGTCCATGACGTAAGTATACTCTTAACAACCCAAGTGGGCGGTGCGTCGGAGTCTTCGGGAAGAAGGTCATCATGATATCTATGCCCGCGTACGCGTGTGGGTATTTGTGTTAAGAGACAGAGAAGCTTCGTACCTACCACACTTCTTTCCAATTGCGCATTCCTCAGCCCACCGTGTATCCTGGGACGAAGATTGGGACACACAGCGTGGAAAGGTTGTTTCATCCCTTTCTAAACCCATCTTCATCTGTCCGACCGAACTGGTTTTCCCATCCCAATTGGATGTCATTGCTTGCTCTTCCAAACCCGCGACGGTGCCACACAGCGGACTCGTCGTCTCATCTTCGGTCCTAGCTACTTACCTACTTACAACTCCCCTCTTCTTCTGATCCAATCACCTTCTAGTGAAGCAACAATTCATTTTAAGGGACAACCGGGCACTACCGCGGCCATGAAAGCCGCCTCGGCCGACCCTTTTGGCCAGATCCTCAAGGACCTGGTCCTCATTGCCATCAGCATTGCCTTCGTCCCCTTAACCACGACCATCCTCGCCCTAAGCTATGCGTGGCAGCGCTTCCTGCGTCCCAGCCCGGCCTTCGACCCCGCCGCCGCCACGGACCGCCAACAACAGCAGCGCCGCACCATCCTCGTCACCGGCGTCGGTATGACAAAGGGCCTCACCCTCGCACGACTGTTCCACCAAGCCGGCCACCGTGTCGTAGGCGCTGACTTCTCCCCCCATGCCTGCGGCAGCCGGTCCGCCGCCCTCGCCGCCTACCACGTCCTCCAGAAGCCCGGCCGAGCCGGAGGCGGCGCCGACCCGTACCTCGACTCGGTGCTGCGGATCGTGGAGCGGGAAAAAGTCGACCTCTGGGTCAGCTGCTCGGGCGTCGGTTCCGCCGTCGAGGATGGCGTCGTCAAGGAGGTCGTCGAGGCCCGCACGCGGTGCCGTGCCGTGCAGCCCGACGTCGCGCGCACCCGGATCCTGCACGAGAAAGATTCCTTCATGGATCACACGCGGGAGACGGGCCTGCGCGTGCCAGAGTCGTACCTCGTCACGAGCCGCCACGAGATGCTGGCCGCGCTGGAAGAGGCGTCGGGGGGTCTGTCCTACGACGCCGAGTCCGAAACCACCGCAAAGAACAACAGGAAGCCGCCGCCGCGCTTCATCGCAAAGTCGGTGGGCGTCAACGACCGCGGCCGCGGCGACATGACGCTGCTGCCGCTGCCGACGGAGAAGCAGACGTACGACCACGTCTACAACCTCGAGTGGCTCGGCCTGTCGGACAAGGAGCCCTGGCTGCTGCAGGAGTACATCGACGGCGACGAGTTCTGCACGCACGCGCTCGTGGTCCGCGGGGAGGTGAGGGCGTTTGTGGCGTGCCGCTCGGCGGAGCTGCTGATGCACTACGTCGCGCTGCCCGCCGCGTCGCCGCTGTCGAGGGCGATGCTCGAGTTTACGCGGAAGCAGGCCGCGTCGTTTGGGGATGCGTATACGGGCCACCTAAGTTTCGATTTCATGGTGAGCGATGAGGACGTTGCTGCGGCGGCGGCGGACGAATGTAGGCCTGAGCAGCTGAAGCTGTATCCGATCGAGTGTAACCCGCGGGCGCATACCGCTGTTGCGCTGTTTGGAGAGACTCCAGACATGGTAGAGCAGTACCTGAGCGTCCTGGACGAGACGGGAGCCTCTAGGGGTAGTTCGGAGACGGATGTGGTGTCGCCGAGGAGGCCGGCCAAGTACTACTGGATTGGGCACGACCTCTTCACGCTGCTGCTGCTGCCCACGGCGAGGGTGCTTCTCTTCCGGATGTCGATTGCGGCGTACTGGCGGTCTGTAACGACGTTTGTCGAGCACGTGCTGTTCTGGAAGGACGGCACCTTTGAGCTGTGGGATCCGTTGCCGGCGTGGTGGCTCTATCATGTCTACTGGCCCATGACGTTCTGGGACTGCGTCGTGAACCGGCGGAGCTGGAGCCGGATCAATGTGAGCACTACAAAGATGTTTGAGTGCGATTGAGAAGTTTTGGTATCAGTATAGATGCCGACTTCATTGGCGGTTTTCCATCCGAGGCCATTTTTTAAAGGTCACACGTTGACTGATCGAACCCTTGAAGCTTTATGACAACTATCAAATGATTTCAGGGCCCAACTACAAGTAGAGCATAGCCCAGAGAAAATCGAGAAAGATGAAATTTCAAAGTAGTTAACCTTACGATCAATGTGGATTCGGTGGTCGCTTCCTTGTTAGTTCTCATATGGCAAGTAACATCAGACACTAAATCTCGGACTTGACCCTTAGTGCCGGGATCAGCGACCCAGAAAACTCAATTGCGACGCTCATGTCACTTTAGGGCGGAGGGTCTAAAACGTGTTTTTGACATTCTTTTGTCAAAACGGCGCCCTTTGAGCAGGGACTGGGTTGACGATGGGTATATTGGGCTTATAGTCGGAGCCGTTCCGAGGGCGTTCCGGCCGGTGTTCCGAGCGACGACCCCGCGTTGAGCCGCCCCGCGCGGCTGGTTGACGAGTAGTCCAGTACTCCGTACGCCACGACGAACAAGCTTCCAACACCATTGGCCTATTACATGACTGTATTCTGAATCCACCTTTCAAGAATCGGGGATTTAGGAAATCGGATAATGATTTGATGGGCGGGCCACGGTGGAGTACCAGATAGAGATACACACTTGCAGGTCGTCTATGAACGGCCGACCCTAGTCGGTGGACTGCTCTTGATTGGCCGGGCTATTGCTACCTTCGTCCACACACAATTGACTTCATCTCATGTGTGCGTCTCTCTCTCATACTGCTGGAAAGGTGGCGTTAAAGACTCGAGATATCTTTTCTATAAGACGAACAAATCCTGCCCTCCAAACCTATACCAAGACCTTGAACGAAGAGCATCAGTACCGGCACTTAGACCATCGACTAGGATACCTTCTTCAAGATGGACTCATCCGAATTCCGTACCGCGGCCGCAGAGGCCATAGAAGACAGTAAGTTTCTCATCACACTCTCATGAATCTCAACACCACCAAACATCCTCACACCCTTCGACCCTCTCATGAAAGCCTGCAATCACTAACCATCATCCTCCAGTCACAAAATACTACGACACCATCACCTCCCAACCAAAAGTCCTCCCCTCGGTAACCCCAGGCTACCTCCGCCCCCTCCTCCCCGAATCCGCCCCCGAGGACCCGGAATCATGGCAGACCATCCACGCCGACCTCCAATCCCACATCGTACCCGGTATAACCCACTGGCAATCCCCTTCCTTCCACGCCTTCTTCCCCTGCTCCTCCTCTTACCCGGCCATGCTCGCCGAGCTCTACTCAAACGCCTTCAACGGCGCCCACTTCAACTGGATCTGCTCCCCCGCCGTCACCGAGCTCGAGACAATCGTCCTCGACTGGCTCGCCCAGCTCCTGAACCTACCGCCGGTCTACCTCTCCACCGCGCCCACCCGTGGCGGCGGCGTCCTCCACGGCACCGCCTCCGAGGCTATCCTCACCGTCATGGTCGCCGCCCGCGACAAGTTCCTCCGCGCCCGCACCGCCCACCTCCCCGCCGACTCGGAAGAAAAGGAGGAAGAGACCTGGCGCCTGCGCTCCAAGCTCGTCGCCCTCGGCAGCGAAATGGCGCACTCGTCCACCAAGAAGGCGGCACAGGTCCTCGGCGTCCGCTTCGCCACCGTCCCGGCCCCGGCAGAAACAGGCTACGCAATGTCCGGCGCCGCCCTCGCCTCCACCGTCGCCGCCCTCCGCGCAAAGGGGCTAGAGCCCTTCTACCTCACCGCGACCCTCGGCACCACCGACACCTGCGCCGTCGACGACTTCCCAGGCATCAAGGACGCTCTCGCCTCAGACGAGCAAGACAGCATCTGGGTCCACGTCGACGCAGCCTACGCCGGCTCAGCCCTCATCCTCCCGCAAAACGCGCACCTCACGGCGCCCTTTGCAGCTTTCCACTCCTTCAACGTGAACCCGCACAAGTGGATGCTCACAAACTTCGACTGTTCCGCCCTCTGGGTGCGCGACCGCGCCTGGCTCGTCGAGTCACTGAGCATCAAGCCGGCCTACCTGCGCAACCAGTTCTCCGAGGCCGGTCTGGTGACGGACTACCGCGACTGGCAGATCCCGCTCGGCCGACGCTTCCGCAGCCTGAAGCTGTGGTTCGTGCTGCGGGCGTACGGCGCCAGCGGGATCCGGAAGCATTTGGAGAGGGGGATCCGTCTGGGTGAGAGGTTTGCGGAGATGGTGAAGGCGAGGGGGGATTTGTTTGAGATTGTGACGGGGCCGCGGTATGCTCTGGTTGTGTTTACGTGCAAGGCCGGGGACAGGGAGAGGAGTAACAAGGTTACAGAGGCGGTGTTGGAGAGCGTGAATGGCGAGGGCGTGATTTATTTGACGCCGACGACGCTTCATGGGTTGTATGGCATTCGCATGTGTACCGGGAGCAGCCAGGTCATTGAGGAGGAGCACGTCCAGAAGGCGTTTGATATCATTGTTGCGGCTACCGAGAAGGCACTTGCCGATGGGCAGTAGAGTTCTTTATGTTAGTGCGTAGAACGCATCGAATGAATAGACTTGGATATGAGCATTCCTTTTCTGGATCCACGGCCCGTTTGAGTGCTTCATGAGTAGTGCTCTGTACGAAGGGGAATAACGCTTTTGGCTGCTCATATCCCAAGCTCACCATTCAATTTTGATCTTGAAAACACCGCTGCATCATGATTCTTCTGTATAAGCTCCTTACGGTGACCCGATATCCCCGTACTTCACTCGTCATTTGATCTGAGCATAATGTAGCCAATCAGTAGCCGGAACGTGGGATTTGGCAATGATCCACGTAACATATACGCAAACGAACGAGTTAAGCTGGCACAGCCCACCATTTATTGTCAGATGCAAGGCACGGTTTGAACTGCAGACAAGTATAATTGATATTTCAACGATAGAACTGTTAAAAAGATGAACCGACGCAAAAGCGTCTGAACCATGTAAATGCTTCGCTCCAATATAAAATCTAACTCCTTTCCTTGGAAGGAGATAGTTTTGTATCTGTTTTCGATCTCTTCCATATGCAAATCCCATCCCCATCTCATGCTAATCATAATCATTCTCATAATGTCGTTTAGTAATGCAGTGTCGTATGTTGAACCAGGGCATGCCGACGACAGTCCCCACGCCAGAGTCTCTCAGCCCTCACCAATTCGAATAATACTCCCTCGACCTCGACACAGGAATACTCTGACTCCGCCTCCGCTCATTATACCTAGGCCGGCGGTCCCCATACCCATAATCCCTCTCAAACTGGTCCACAGCCCTCACATACTCCCTCCCGCCAACACCCCTCACACTAACACTCTCCTCCCTCGCAGCGGACCCCCGCGTCGCCCTCGCCTCGGAAACATCGCTCGGCGGCGGCGCATAGTCTCTCACGGACTTGTACTCCCTCTCATGCCAATCTGGATCGTAGTAATCCCGATCGCTCCTATCATCCCGAAAACTCCTCCCGTCGTCGGTTCTTCCATCGTCGTTGTCGTATCTGCTGCTGTACCTATCCCTATCCCTGTCTCTGTCATATCCAGCCTGGCTCCGACTGCTCCTCGGCGGGCGGGACCTCGACTGCCTCTCCCTCTGCCTCCGTCTCTCCTCCCTCCTTTCCTCCTCCTCGTGCTTCTCCTCCGTGCGCTTGAGCGACTTGTCGATTCCAAAGGCGACCGTCGCGCCGATGAGGCCGAGGGCAATGGCCTGGCCCCAGTCGAAGCCGGCGACTTCCTTTTCAAACTCTTTGCGTTCTTTGCGCTTTTCGGGTTCCGCTTTCCAGGGTCGTGGATCGGGTGGCAGTAGCTTGCTCGGCTTCACCATTTTTGGGTTGTGTGGTGTGTAGTGTAGTGTAGTGTATGTATGTATGTGTGTATGTATGTGTGTGTGTGTTGTCCTCTCTCGTCGTTGACTTTGTATATGTGTCGGTCTCTCGGATATCGAGATGTAGATGGTGAATAAGTTTGACGGTAGCTTATTTGATGATTTTGGTTTTGTGTCAAAGACGTTTGTTCAACGGTCCCCTACTCGAACAGCTTCTTTGTTTCTGATGTTCTTGGTATACGTCTCGACGGTAAAACGTGGTAAGGTTGTTTTGGGCGTCCCCTCAAAGCGGCGTCGAAGTGCTCAAAGTGCTCAAAATGCAAAATAGTGCAGGGGTACGTAGGATTATATATCTCAAAGGGTTGCAGGTGGCGTCAAGGCCCCTTGTCGAGGATAGGGCAAGAGAGGCACAGAGGGGAGGGGTACGGATGCCGAATTGAGACAAAATATGCAGGGGAGACTCTGACGGCGTTGCACTTCTCAACGGCATTCGGGAGGATCTGGATCGAGGTGTGTGGCTGACTGGCAGGGGGGACTGGACCACACAAGTGAATATCTTTGGGTATGAAGTGACAAGCACTACATTACAAGCACAAGAGAGACATTGCTGGGCACCTCTAGAAATATAATACCCAAGCTACTACTACATACTAGGTAAGGGTGTAACCCAGCCCCGGGCCCCTTCACCGCTGGACGCCGGCATTCCCCCGCATCCACTAGCTGAACAAGCCCGACATATTTCGTGATCCATGTCTCGACTGCCGGGAGCCTAGGGGGGAGCTTGCCCATTGGGCTCGAGCTGGAAAGCTTGTCGTCACCGTGCCTGCATGATGTCATGGGTTCGGCCCCAAAATGCTCCCCTCCAGCCCCACTCTGTTGTTGGTCTTACCCCCATCATTCCCGCCAAGCCGTTGACGTCAAAAGGTTCTCGATCTGGCCATAGCTTCCGGGCCTCACCACTCTCCAAAACGACATGGTTCCACCAACAAATGAGGCACGGCACCTCATCATCAGTGCAGCACTGCAACACAGCTTCCACAGCTCGAGAGCCCAAATGCCATACCCCAAAATCATCATGAGACCATCGTGCCATCCTTGCCATCGTACACTCGTGAGGCATGAGTCGTGTCCTCTTATCCGAACATCTACACACCCTCGGGGACCAGATCCTGTCTTAGCCACGAGGGCTAGCAGGGTTTCCCCCCTTGGTCTAAGCTGAACGTCCGCGACAAGCGGTTGACGCCGTCACCGCCAGCCGCGGGAAGCAATAGACATCGGTTTTGAGTCACACATCATGCAAAGGGAAACCTGTTGGTCTGTTGTGGCAGTGCACAGGTGGTATCATTCATGCTCTTCGTGTAGGCAAATCATGTCTAAGGTCTGAGAATTTACTAGATGCTGGCTCTTCTGGGTGCCATGGTCCTACGCATCGCCTTCTTTGCTTCCGTTTCTTCCATGAATGGTAACGACCCGTCGCTTCTAAGCTTCTGCAAATACTCCTGCCCATACTTGTACCCCATTTGATAGAGCTCGTCAAACTTGCCAAAGTCGAGCGTGCCATAATCATCAATCGGAGGCCGCATGTAAAAGCAGCCTGGCATCGTCTTCGCCCGTTCCAGGGCATCGACGCTAGACACGTAAGCCAGTCTAGCCTGGATCTCGGCCAATGTCGGCGGGTTAGCTGTGCCCGAGAACGGATTCCACCTATTCCAGAACGCCCACACTCCCGACAGCGAATCACCATACGCCTGTGGAGTATCGTCGTCCAGTGACCCAACGTCAACTGAAAAGATGGTGTCCACACCCAATCTCTTCATGTGAGAGACAGTCAGATTATCAATGTAGCCACCATCCAACAGCATACTGCCCTCATCGCACAGTGGCGGGAGCAAGCCGGCCAGTGACATGGAAGCTCTGATGTATCTCCACGCATAGCCACTGGTGTGATATTCGATTCGGCTTTTGCTGATATTTGTCGTGTTGCAGTAGTACTCAAGCCAAAAGTCTTCAATCTGAGTCTTGCCAAATGTCTTGAAGATACCCCGATTGAACTCATGTCCCGTGGTGTAAGATGCAGTCGGGTATGTGAGATCGAGAGCGAAACGCCACATGCTGGCCATGCGGCCAGAAAACTTCTTGGCGAGGCCGAAGATGGGAACAACATCGGCATGACGGGCGTAGAGAGCGCCAATGAACGCGCCGATTGAAGTTCCGCCAACAACATCGATGGGAATGCCAGACTCTTCCATGGCCTGAATGATGCCGATTTGGGTGATGCCTCTTGCGCCGCCACCACCTAGGACGAGGCCAACAGATTTGCCGCAGAGACGTCTCGCCAGACGATGGAAGTCGCCCTTGTAAGGTGCATCTGGAGAGTAGAATGGACTGTGCCGAACCTTTCTCGACGTGTACTTTTGAATCTCCGCCTGGATGATCTGAACCCGCTCCTTCAAGGTGCTGGTTCGCTTTGAGGGCGGATGGGCAGGCATGATGTTTGCCCCGAGAGCCATTTGGACGTGGTAGTGTCCACCATTGATCCACATACGATTCCTCAGCCAGGCTCGAGTCAACCCCGATTGGGAGTACCTCTCAGAATGGAGAAGAACAAGAAGCTTCCTCGCAGTCGACTTCATGCCCAACATGAAACGCTCATACTCTCCAATCTCCGGAGATCCTTCGGCAAGACCAACAAGGAGGATGCAATCAGCCTGAGTGATGCATGTCTGGGTCCACGGAGAATTGACATTGGTGTCTGATGCAGAGTTAGCATCGGTATCCAACCAACAAGTGTCATCAACAAGCGTGAGATAGGTAGTCCAATCAGGAAAAAATTAGAGTATGTTTGGCCATCAACGGCTTTTGCCTCCGCAAACGGTGTTTGTTCATCATAAAAAGGACAGTATAGGTGAATACAGTAATAGAGAGAGATCTTACCTGCAACATATACGACGAGGCCATACTTTTCCTCGAGGTCAGCCAAGTATTGGGAGAGCTTCAGCTTTCCCATCTTGTTGAAAGCATGCTTGCCGAGGTGGTTGAGAATAGCAGATTGGTTGAGGGAGGTGGCACCATTTGCAGGACCAACTTGAGACAGGGCGTTCATCAACCGATTACCAAACTCAACCACAGGAACACCAGAAGTCACTGGCAAGATCGCGACGGTCCTCAGGTTGAGTGACGAAGAGCCTTTGGTGATTGTGTTGGTGTTGCCTGCCTCCTTGGAGAGAAGCTGTGAGGGGTCATCTACAAGGTTCCTCATCCGCGACGCAATAATCTTGGAAATCTTGATCGTGATGTTCGGGTGCTCCTGGGCAAGACTGTTGAAAAGTGTGCGAGGGAACTTGACCAGCTCAGTCTGACGGATGGCATGGAGTGTGCCTGGCCTGACAGACTCCGTCAAGACTTCGAGTTCACCCACACTCTCGCCCTGACCGAACTCGGCTCGCACACTAACACCACCGTCTTTCCTGTCCTGCACGAGACGAAGTCGGCCGTTGAGAACAATGTGAATCGCCTCGCTCTCTTCACCCTCATGGAAAAGCACTTGACCAGCATCGACTTGCTCCCAGTCAAGAGCAAAGTCAATGTGCATAATCAGGCGCGGGAGCAAGCTCGTCAGTCGCTTAGCCATTGTAAGCAGGACAATGGGATAACGATCGGCGATCCTCTCGAGAGCGGAGCGCGGCAGAAAGCCGACATAGACGTCCGTCTTGGCCACGACGTCGATAAAAGATCGGTACGACGATACTGTGCCCACGTATCCAGCAAGGCCACCTGGCTTGATGAGTGACACACTGCGACGATAAGGCTGCTTCTTCTTCGCGTCCATGTGATCAGGTGGATACGCAGGAGACCCATCCATACCCATGTGGTCAGTGTGCAGAGTCGTTCTGCTTGAGGACTGCAAAATGTCCGCTGAGGTATCCTCCTTCGACGTGCAAATGTCAAGGAAGCCGTCAACGACGTAGTAGAGGCCAGGATTGCGCTCGCCTTGCTCAACCAAAACGGAACCCTTGGGGAAGAAGACAATCTCCACATCATCCTTCATATCGCTTGCCAGGATGTGCGCATTGGGCGGTGTGTTCAGTGTAAAGCCTCCGGATGTCATAGACTCCGTGTCTCCATCACCAGAAGCATCGAAAGGGCCCATGAGACCGAAAGCGTTATTGCCCAGACCAGGTCTCGATCGCCTCTGGTCGTAAGAGAAGAGCCGCGGGGATCCTTCGACAGACTCAGCCTCGCGGGAGACACTTCCATTGCTGCTCAGACCGATTGCCTTGAACATACATTCAAGGATCGACTGTCGGAAAAGGTTGTCTTCATCCAGGGACTCTCGGCCGTCGATCGAGCCTCGAGACTGCCTCTGGGTAGTGAACGGGTTGAAGGTTCGCTGGGCAAGCGGGCTTGTACCCTCCTGACGGAGAGCGTCAGCGACTTGTTCGAGGTGAACACTGGCCGAACCAGATGGTCGGTGGCCAATATGCCGCGCTGACTGGATGTTGGCCAAAAGATCACCAGGACTGGTCTGAGTGGAAGCTCTCTCCCTCGGCGGTCCGATCGTTGTAGCGACCTGAGAAAATGACCTCTCCTTGGTGGTCATGGAATGCATCATTGCATCCTTGCGGAGAGTCGAGGTTGACTTCCGCCGACGATGCGCATTGGCATTGTGCAGTGCAATGCCTTTGCTCTCCGATTCGCCGCCGACTCTTTCTCGCTCCCGATCAAACTTCTCCTTCAAACGCTGCAAGGCATCGCCCCTTAGCATGTTGGGCAACTGACATGAGGTGAAAGAAAGCATGTTCTTCTCCGTCTGCAGGACTTCACCAGTGAGCCCCAGGTAATTGTAAGCCGTGGCCAATGTAACTCTCTGGAAACGGGAGAGAATTACTTGAACAATGTGGGAAGTGGCCTTGGGGTAGACCTTGGTGAGCCGGCGAAATGCGCTTGCTGGGATGATGGCGATAGTCGTGTCTACCGTTGCTCTTGCAATGATATCTGGGTGCGCTGAGCCAGAAGTTGCTCGACTCTGAAGTGGAGGGCGCTTCGGCTGGCGAGCACTACTGGGGACACTGCCGCTGCTGTCAAGCGAGATGGGTGGAATTCTTGCGCTGCCAGGCAGGTTGGGTGTAGTGGCCCGCTTGGGAGGTTCCTCAATCCTCACCCCCGTCCTTTCCTCCGAAATCTCTGGGAACTCGGGAGTTGCTGGGAACGGACTGGCAGGGTCTGATGGCATGCGGCGGAAGCCTGCGGTGCGCGGGAATGGTGATGTTCTCAGTCCACCACTGCCTGAGGTGGGTTCCGGGGTGTCGTCATCTGTCGAACGAAGCTTGACGTCTTCCGTGAACAATGACATGATGGAGAAGAGAGACGACATGGGAGCTCCATTGCGAACCTCTGTAAGCAGTTGGTATCTTTGCTGCGGGGCTGACGACATATCGTCGTCTTCTCCAGGATAGGCAGAATCGCCCCCGAAGCTGTCGCAAGGGTCCGGATCCATGGCTCTAGCATTTCGGCCAGATTTGACAAAGATTTCCACAAGACCGTCGACGACAATACAGAATCCCTTCTCCTCTTCCAGGTTGAAGGTCTCGCCAGCGATAAGCTTGCGAGTCTGCATGCTTCTGGTCAACTCGTGGAAGACCTGCCGCTCGAGGTAGCCAAAGATTCTGATGGCACTGAGGAACTCGTCCAAGTAGCTCGATAGGCCTGATTTCTTGCCCTCATCGTGGGATTCGGGGAATAAATCGACGTCAGGCTCTTTCCTCTGCGGCTCCGGGGGAAGTCGAGAGTACATGTTGAGGATGCGATATCGCACAACCCAACTGACGGCGGATATGATGGCAACCATGATCACCATGCTGCGCGTCAAGTCAGCAGAAGCTCAGAGGCGGCCTGGTAGAATGATGAAGCGCGTACAGAGTAGTGGCGTTCATCGTCACAGTCCAGCTTGTTGAGAACAAGGTGAAGAGGACGGTAGGAATTGTAATGGTAACGATTCGAATCGCCCAGTACAGGATCGAAGAGATCAAGGACAGAATGGCGAGGATCAACCGGCCAAAAAGCCCTAACCAGCTAGACGATCCCTGAGCTGCGACGACCTCCTGCGCGCGTGTGAACGCGGACGGCAGGGCCTCGGGAGAAGCTTTCATTGTGGCCGACAAGCTCTCCGATACCGCGTGGGCGGCACTCGAAATGTCGGACGACGACATGGCTGCGGTGTGTTTTGTTGTGACGGGCGTTGCAGCATAACGCAGCAAGCAGGTAAAAAGACAGATTACATGGTGCAGTGCGACCCTGAGGCTAGCAGGGTGCGGGCAAGGGAGAGCCTCTGGTTTTAAGCCGTTGTTTGGTGGCTGAGACGCAGGACCGAGGTGGAAGGTGGTTAGAGAGAGAGAGAAGAGGGAAAAAATAGAAGGGGGAGGAAGAAAAGAGCTTTTGCGCTGTGGGGGAGCTTGAAGAAGCTTGCAGCATGAGGTGGAGGAACCTGGGCACGGGCGGTCAGCCAGTTTGTGCCGCCCCACCCCGCCAAAAAGTTCCCAGGGCGGGCGGAACGTGCGGCATGTGACGCCAGCCCGGCCTACCAGCGGCGAGCGCCCATGGTCTTCCTTAATGTGGTGTTGTTGGTAATGCTGCATGGAGGGGCACGACTGGTCTGCACTGAAGGACACCCATATCCATACAACGGGAAACTTTGATCTTTGAAGATCAGTTCACGAGTTCCAACAACCAACTATCGACGCCAAGTTGCGCACTTTTCTCATTTATACGACGCATGCTCTCAAAGTGACACCCAACAACAGACGCGATGCCATTTGCGCAGCTCATTCTCGGCGCTCCAGGCTCTGGAAAGAGCACCTATTGCGATGGCAGTAAGCCACCCTTGCCAACACACACAACCTCGTCGTCTGCCATGCTAACACAATGCGCCTAGTGCACCAGTTCATGGGCGCCATTGGCCGCGCATGTTCTGTGGTCAACCTCGATCCCGCAAACGATCACACAAATTACCCGAAAGCTCTCGACATTCGTGACCTCGTCAAGCTAGAAGATATCATGGCTGGTGACAAGCTGGGCCCCAATGGCGGCATCCTCTATGCCCTCGAGGAGCTCGAGCACAACATGGAGTGGCTGGAGGAAGGCTTGAAAGAATTCAGCGAAGACTATATTCTCTTTGACTGCCCCGGGCAAGTCGAGCTATACACACACCACAACTCTCTGCGCAATATCTTCTTTAGGCTGCAGAAGATTGGCTTTAGAGTAAGCTGCCCACGATACCCCCCCCCCCCCCAGACCGACCTCGCTGACTTTTCGTAGCTTGTCGTCGTACATCTCTCCGACTCGTTTTGCTTGACTCAACCCTCGCTGTACATCTCCAACCTGCTCCTGGCCCTTCGCGCCATGCTCCAGATGGACATGCCACACATTAATGTCCTGACCAAGATCGACAAAGTCGCCTCCTATGACAATCTCCCCTTCAACCTCGAATACTACACCGACGTCGATGACCTATCGTATCTAATCCCATATCTAGAAGAAGAATCGCCGGCGATGCGCAACGAGAAGTTCAGCAGACTCAATGAAGCCGTGTCGAACATGATCGAGAGCTACAGCCTAGTCCGGTTCGAGGTCCTCGCAGTCGAGGACAAGAAGAGCATGATGCACCTCCTCCGGGTGATCGACCGAGCAGGAGGATACGCTTTTGGCAGCGCAGAAGGCGCAAACGACTCCGTCTGGCAGGTCGCGATGCGCAACGAGTCGTCCATGATGGAGGTGCAGGATATCCAAGAGCGCTGGGTCGATCGAAAGGCGGAGTATGACGAGCTGGAGCGGAAAGAATGGGAAGAGCAGGCTAAGTTGCGGGAGGAGGATGATCCCAGCGCCGGGCAGGCGCCCCCGCCGCCGGCCGACGATTATGATCCAGACTTTGGCGACATGACGATACCTGCAGATAGTAGCATAAAAGTAGTGCGCAAGAACAAATGATACCCTTCAGCCGTCTTCTTCAACCATGCCATCCTCGTCAGAGACATCCGACGCGTCGAACATGACGGCATCCTCGGCTTCGGTCCTGGACTCTGAGAAAAGCGGCAACGCGCCACCGGCAGCAGCCGCGGAAGAATCTTTGGCGGCGAGCACGAGCTGTCTGGCTTGTCGAATGGCCTCTTCCTCGGCCTTTCGAATGGTTCCGCTGACTCTGACAACTTTGAAGGTGCAGGGCTTGCCCTCTCCGCTCTTGAGAGGCACGCGGTTCATAAACGTCAGAGCAGCCCAGACCAGACGGTAGTGCGCTCTCTTCACCTTCAAGATGAAAGTCGACGTTGCCTGAGAGAGATACTTGACTACATGGCTGTTAGATACTGCCTAAGACGGACGTATTCTGCTTCATGAACTCACCGATGAGATTTCCTTCTATGGCACCAGAACCGTAATCACCGAAAAGAGTAGCGACCTCAGCTCGTATCGCCTTCAGAAGTGACTGAGGTGTGAGACTTCCCGTCGTTGGCTGATGCATCACCACGAAATCTGGGACATTGTATTTTTGTTTTGAATCTTCTGGCGGGTAAAGGATATTGACGAGGATGTATCTCTCTTTGATTCGGACCATCTTGGCGCGCTCAAGACCGCGTCGTTCAATGAGAGGAGAGAATAGGCCTTGAAAGTTGAATCTTGTAAAAGTTCAAGCTTCAGGTACGTACCTATCCTGCAAGTGCAATCCGTCGGAGTGGGACCATGCAAGGACATGAGTACCATTGCTGACTAAGGCGGGGGAGCTTCACCTCCGATAGCTCCTACCACAAGCTCCCGACGTCACTAAGCATACTAGGTAATTCGCTGAAGTGACATATACCTAGTTCATTTGAGGTGATGCGCTTGATGGTCGCCGATATATCTTGAAGAAAACTGTGTCTTGGAACCATCTTTCATCAGCGTTTCTAGCATCTCGTGCTACCTCCACTATGACTGACACCCCGCTCAAAGTAGCTATCCTGATCGTGTCGACGACAGCATCAAAGGACCCATCGACAGACAAATCGGAACTAATTCTTCGAGATGTGATTGAGAACGAGGGTGGTGGTAAATGGCAGGTCACCGATACTAAGATTGTGCAAGATCATGTCCCCCAAATCCAGCGGCAAATCATGCTCTGGGCGGATTTGGGTCCTGTGGAAGGAGTCAACTTAATCCTTACTACTGGTGGAACTGGATTCGCGGTGTCAGATAACACGCCTGAGGTACGATGAACGAAATGTTTAACCGATTGATATTGACCATCAAGTATAGGCTGTCGCAACTCTTCTCCATAGGACTGCCCCAGGGCTGGTTCACGGAATGCTCGCTGCATCCCTGGCCGTGACTCCATGTAAGTAATTCTAATATTCACAGATAACACCATGACTGACAGCAGTAGTTGCAATGATGTCAAGACCTGTGGCAGGCACACGTAACAGCACTGTCATTGTCACTCTACCCGGTTCCCCTAAAGGCGCCAAGGAGAACTTACAAGCCATCCTGAAGACCCTGCCGCATGCGTGCGTACAGGCCGCTGGTGCTGACTCCAGGATCCTCCACTCTGGCGGGGTGAAGAAGCTCGAGTCCGAGGCGGGAATCCAAGGCGCCTCTGCAGGATCAACAACTCAGAAAGAGCAGGCGCACTCCCACAACCACCACGGCCATGATCACAGCCACAGCCACGGCCACGGCCATGGACACTCACATACTCACGGCCATGGCCACGGTGGCCTTGTCAGACACACCAAGCCGGAAGAAAACCCCCTCTCCAACGATCCGAGTCTCGGCCCGAGTCGCAGATACAGAGAGTCGCCGTACCCGATGTTGGAAGTCGATGATGCCCTGCGGCTGATCAAAGACTTCACCCCTGACGCCGAGGTAGTGGCGACCAAAGTAGACGTCAACATCATCAACTCGGTTCTCGCAGAAGACGTCACAGCCAGAGAAAGTGTCCCTGCGTTCAGGGCATCCATCGTGGACGGGTACGCGGTGGTGGTGCCCGAGGACGGCAACATGAAGGGCGTCTTCCCCGTCACCGCAGTATCCCACGCCGCCTCGGGCGAGGTCAAGACCCTCAAGGAAGGAGAAATCGCCAGAATCACAACGGGAGCTCCCTTACCCCAGGGAGCCACCTCGGTCATCATGGTCGAGGACACGATCCTGAAATCCAAAACAAAGGACGAGAAGGAAGAAAAAGAGGTGGAGATTCTCGCCGACGGCGTCAAACCCGGCGAGAACATCCGCGAAGTCGGCAGCGACATCCAAGAAAACGATACAATCCTCAAAAAGGGCGAACAAATCTCCGGCGTCGGCGGCGAAATCGGCCTCCTCGCAGCCGTCGGCGTGGCAGAAGTCCAAACCTACAAGCGCCCCGTTGTCGGCATCCTCTCCACGGGTGACGAGATCATCGAACCCGACCGCCCGGGCGGCCTCCGCTTCGGCGAGGTCCGCGACACGAACCGCATCACACTCATGTCCGCCGCTCGCCAGTGGGGGTTCGAGGTCGTCGACCTCGGCATCGCGCGCGACAAGGAAAAGGCCCTCGAGGAGAACCTGCGCGAAGGGCTCCGCCGCAGCGACCTGCTCATCACCACGGGCGGTGTCTCCATGGGCGAGCTGGACCTGCTCAAGCCGACCATCGAGCGGGCCCTCGGCGGCACGATCCACTTTGGCCGCGTGGCCATGAAGCCCGGCAAGCCGACCACCTTCGCCACGGTGCCCGTCAAGACGACGCTCGGGAAGCGGGTCACAAAGACCATCTTCTCGTTGCCGGGGAACCCGGCGTCCGCCCTGGTAACTTTCCACCTCTTTGTCCTACCGGCGCTGCATAAGCTCTCTGGCATCGAGCCTGTGGGCCTACCCAAGGTTCCCGTGACGTTGGGCCACGAGTTTCCTCTTGACAAGGCTCGGCCAGAGTATCACCGCGCCATAGTAATCGTCGGAAAGGATGGGTCTCTGTCTGCGAGCAGTACCGGCGGTCAACGAAGCTCAAAGGTCGGTAGCTTGAAGTCTGCCAATGCACTGCTCACTCTCCCGGCCGGCTCGGAGCCGTTGAAGAAAGGGGCTAAGGTGGAGGCTCTGATGATGGGGGACATCCGCGTGGAGTACTGAATCGTTTAGCTGTTTCCATATCAATAATAAGAATGCATGTGCAATGATATGATCTTCGGTGTTCAGCAAGTAGCATTGATCCCTCATGTGCCTGGCTGTGCTTGCAAGGAGCTCAGAGGACACACGTCAACTCTTCTCTGAGGTGGAAATCATACCAGCTGCATGTGGATAACTTAAGTCGAGTTCCTGCCCAAGGACAATCAGAGGTCAAACATTTATGACGCGTAGAAATCATCTCGATGAGGAGCTATAATACTTGGATAGTGTACAATACAAAATGTCCTCGCCCTGCCTGTATGCCATTAACGCCCGCCCAAGTAAACCTTGGTGTAATGCAGTGCTCCACTGTACATCGTGTCCGAGGTAGATAGTGGCTATGCTGTCGGTGATAGACCTCCTCTTTTTGAACCTTTCATATTGTGTAGACAGCTTGTTATGCCTTATGCCTTGCCAAAAGCGTTGGCCTTGCCAGAGACAAGAAGCCCAACAATCAAACCGAAAAGACCGAGGACAGAGCTGAAAATCTCGACGACGAGAATCTTGACGAAACTGCACCCGGCTGGTTAGCATATGTATATGATCGCTCATCGCATCTGGATAAACATACAGCGTAGGGTCGGCGGCATCGGCCAGCGCGGCTCCACTGCCGTTGATGCCGACAGCGACACCGCAGATGAGGTTGCACATTCCGACGGTGATACCGGCCCAGAATAGGGCGAAACCAGTGTAGTAGCTGTTGCCGTCGTGTAGGACCTCACCCTGGACGTTCTCGAGCTGGGCGGAGAAGACGATGGCCATGATGACGCCGTAGATGGCGACGACTTCGCAGAAAATGATGGAAATCAAGTTCTTGGTTCGCACACGCGGGGCCTTGACGCCCGCGCCGAGGATGGAGGAGCCGGTGATAAAAATACCCCTAGTTTTGGTCACTACGTTAGATTATACATTTGCCCTGCGCCGCGCGCTCGTTGCGTCAATTGCTGGGAAGCTTAGATCCATACCATGCCGCGCCTACAACGGAGAGACCGATGCAAAGGGCAATGCCCGTGTCCGCCCACGCGTAGGGTGAGATAGATTCGAGGAATTCGCCGACGTTGAAAGCTTCGCCCGATCCCGTGAAGAGCATGTCTGTTTAGAAGGTGTTAGCTGGAACAGTGATCCGTAGAATCGTCGATGCCATCGCGGGAATGGGGTTTCGTACAAGCTCCCACAACGAGAAGGGTGCTCCCAATGCCTCCCAGGCCGTATGTGAGACTCATCGTGGTCGATTCGGTGCGTTTCGTTGCCTGTGTCGTGGTTGTGGTTGACGGCGGAGGGCTTTGGGGGGCGTTGCAGCTACGTCGAGCTCTCCAGTCCCGGCGAGTGAGGTAAGGTATCTGAGGTAAGGCAGAGGGATCCAGAATCTGGGAGGTCACATGATGTGGCTTAATGCATCCTTAGGTAATGCATAGAGCCACGGCAAGAAGAACCGCCAGGCGTGGCAGGCACCAGGGTGTCATCAGCCACGGCAAGAGCAGTTCAGCCCCACATCCAGCAGATGAATAAGCAGAATCCAAGGATATCCTCAAACAAGGTCACTATAAATACAACCTCGCCTCTTTCACACTCACAACCGCCTTAAACGACCCGCCCGTAGGAGATCAGAACAAATCTCCAAGATGGCCGCCGCACCTCAATCGTTCTACGAGCTTTACCGCCGTAGCAGGTACTGCGCCATCCATAATAATTACTACACACCTGTGCTACAGATGACTAACTCATTTGCTTGATGCAGCATCGGCCTTGCGCTGACAGATATGCTGGACGATCTTATCAGCGAGGAGCGCATTCACCCTCAGTTGGCGATGAAGATCCTGGCCAACTTCGATCAGGCTATCACAGAGGCCTTGCAAAAGAGCGTCAAGGCCCGCTTGACTTTCAAGGTATGTGCCGCTTATTTATTATCTTAGTCGTTTGCGCCGAGGCTCGATGTTCGTTGCTAGCCTCGGGTGCATAACCCAGAATACTTCTGGCTTTGGGGCGAGTTCCTGTCGGAATGCGCAGGAGATGCGCCCCGATTGGCACGAGAACTGTGAATCAGAGCTAACGTTGCGCGCGTCACAGGGAAGCCTGAGCACCTACCGATTCTGCGACGAAGTCTGGACGTTTCTTATTAAGAACGTTCAATTCAAGCTGGATAATGGCGGGCAGATTGTGACCGCCGACAAGGTCAAGATCGTTAGCTGCAACGCCAAGAAGCCCGGTGAAGGCCCTTGAAGGGCATGCGCCAACAACGTTAGAAGGCAGCAGAGGCGGCCTCGACCACCTTACTCGGATACACGATCGAGACGCATTTGCGGACAAGGGCGATGGGAACGACAACGAGCGCCTCCAGTGGCTGCATATTACAGGCGTTCAGGTTTATGCTCTTATGATGGCACGGTTTAAGGATACGGGAGTTTGTTCATTCAAGATTGCCATTTTGATACCATCAGAGGTTTATACAGCATCGTTCATAGGTTTGCGTAAGCGCATCAATAGACTGGCTGCCTGCATTGGGACTGTGTTACGACTGGCGATATTGATTCTGTTTCGCTATGACTACGGCTCAAGTCTGGAACGGTATTACAGCTGGATTGTAGGATTTGGCTCAATGCAGTAATTTGACACTTGCCATTGTACTGTCCTGCACATATGTAGACAAAAACCGCCCGCTCGTCATGCGTCATCTTACTCCAATTGTCCCAACTGCGCCAGTGACTATGTCAGATATCCCCCAATTGGCATTTATGCGTTGTACCGGTGAATTGGATAAAGACGTGAAGTCGTCGCATCATGTGCCAAAGTTTTGGCTTCTGTTCAAAGTTGAAGCAATAGCCCCTGCCACTTTGTCGAGGGGAAGAAGCCGATGCCGGGTAACTGTTGAGCAAGCCGGGCCCCATCTTCCGGAAACGGGGAGTACAACCGAAGTGGTTCCGCGTCGGGTTTCCTCCCTGGCAATTGGCGATTGGGAACTGGTAACAATAAGGTAGACCTGGCGCTTCTTTTCTCCTTCAGCCTCAACGGCCTGTGAAATCCAACAACTTGGTCGCCAATCGAATTCCTTTGTTCCGTATACAACCTTTTCCAAGTACCAGTGGTACAAAGATCATGTCAGACCCGTATTCATACAGTGAAACAACACCTCCGAGGCTCTGAAAGACAAGGACGCGTGCCCCTGGACTTGCACGCACTGGGATGTTCCCCTTACACTAGTCGTGCGACCTCTCGAGAACTGTGTCAAACAATCCCATCCACACCATTGAGACACATACGCCAACAGTCGCCATCAGACTTTCCCAAACCGCCCTCCCGCGAACCCGTTCCTCTTTTCTCTGCGCGCACACTCTCTTCCGCACGTGGGTGCATCTGTCTGCAAGAGTCGCTGCCACACCGAAACCGCAGCAGCAGTAGTTAGCAGTGCACCGAGCTACCTTACCTCATCCCCCATCGCCAAGCCCACCACCAAGGCCGTCATCCATCCCGTCCCATCCAAGCAAAGCAGTAATTAGCAGGGATCACTCACACCAACACCCAATCTTCCTCCTCCTTCCTCTTCCTCTCCTTTCCCTCTCCACATAATGCTCCGCCAGCGACAACCCGCCGCAGCATCCGCCCCCGACCGCCGCTCTCAAAAGGATCAGATACCCACCATGGCCGCCGCGACAACGACAACCCTGGACAATGAGCGTAGTCCGCTGCTCCCACGCCACGAGGACGACGCACACAGCGAACCGCCGACCGAGGCAGAAGACGACGACGAGCAAACGACTGAGAGCATGGCTTGGGCACGACGGAATCAGTGGATTGTGCTCGCCGTTGCGAGCGGCGCCTGCGCTGCTTTCAACGGCGTGTTTGCAAAGTTGTGAGTTGATATTCTTAATTCGGCTCATTCGGGGGACTATCGAGTGTGATGCCAAGACTTTTTACCATTTTAAGTCGACATCACAACTTGAGAACCAGGTTCACTATTTTTCTTGACCAGAGCAGCTTGTTTCTTGCCTGGTAGCTCCATGAACTAAATGCGCTCATTTTGAGTGTCTCGGGCACACTTCTGTGCTACAGTGTGTTGAGCGCTTTACTTACAATCACATAGGACCACAACTGAGCTCACAACGACAATATCCCAAGCAATCTCCAACTTTCTTCATCTTCAAGATATCGAAGGCGCCTTTGAGGTTGTCATGCGAGCAGTGAGTTGGATCGAACAATTCTTCATTTCAAAATGCTAACCATGTCTCAGGTCTTTTTCGGTCTCAACCTCGTGTTCAACGGCATCGTAAGTTGCCCAGCCTACTCATCTCACCTACGTGAACTCAACTAACACTTACCTCAGATGTGGACTCTCTTCACAAAAGCACTGGCCAAGGGCCAGTCGACCACGCAGGTGTCCATCATGAACACGTCCTCCAACTTTGTCATCACCGCCATGCTTGGCTTCGTCATCTTCTCCGAATCGCTGCCGCCGCTCTGGTGGGTCGGCGCCGCCATGCTCGTCGCCGGCAACGTCATCATCGGCCGCAAAGACGAGGAGGCGGACAAGTCTGGCGACTATGCGCCGGTGCCGCAGCAACCGGGTCTCGCTCCCGTCCCGCTGGACGGCGGTGATGAGGACAAGGATTCAGAGGACGAGGATATTGTCGATTTGGGTGACTTGAACTCTGCGGAATACCGTGCTTGAGTTTGGACAGAGGCGATACATATAGGAAACCTTGTATATGTTTGCTTATATATACCATGCATGTTGGATAGATAGACAATACCCTAAGTTGGTTGAGATGAAGATTAGATGAACTTCAAATACTTTTGCTTGCTCGCATATCCATAAACCCACTGGCCACACACAAGTCAGAATATGTAAATAATCTGGCTCCTGGCTATCTACAAATCGACACGTTTGAGCTCCTCACGATGTAAACAAACCTCTATTAGCGATGCGCTATCAAGCTATGCTCGTTTTCCTTACATTAGATGAATATGGAAGAAAGAGAAAGAGAAAAAAAAAAGTGAGAAAAAAGTGATTCGAACCGGCATAAATAATGCTACAGCGAGACGCCAGGCATCTGTAGACTTTAAATGGCAGGTTCGCGTCAGTGAAGGAGAAGCCGCACGATGAACCACTGGCCCAAAGTGTACTTTCTCGCCCACCCCGACAGACTCTGTGACTCGGTGGGCTATGAAGGACGACGAAGAGTGTATTCGTGTGGGGCTGTGTTGGACCGCAGAGGTGCCTGGATGTGAAGTGTCTCCCAAGGTCAGTAAGAACCGCCGCCACCCTGTCTGCCCCTTCAACTCTACTTGACGAGGGAGATTACGCCTTGCCCCTGTACTTTTGTGAATATTGGGACCAGGTCTAGCTAGGAGAAGCGAAATGTCCGCGTTCTTGTGTTGGAGAGAACTCAGATCCCATCACTTCAGCTGAAATGCTCGTTAAAGCTTCTAAATGGGTAGGATGGAGAAATCGAGTAAAGGGTCGGCCAGCCATGCATATCGGAAACGAGAGTGAGGGCCCAGACAGAGGTGAGACAAAATAGACTCGACATCACGATCTCGCCCAAGTGAAGCGTAATCTTTTTGTACTAATGTAGTGGCTATGGCGTGGTTCGTAACCAATATTACTATAGCTGAGTGCAAAAGAATAGGCTGCCGTCCACGGCATTTATAGGACCTTGAGCCACCGTACGCTTTCACCCCTCAAGGCTAAAAGTATCGGTCGGCCATCGAACGGACGCTTCTTCTTAATGGCTGGTCAATCTCTGGTTCTAAAAAGGGCTGGCATATGAGCATGGCTAGACAACCGAATACAACCTAGATGGCCTAAGTGAAAGGAATATATACCTTACATTGAAGGATAGCCCCCCCCCCCCCCCAAAAACAAATTTAAAAAATTTGATGATGTACTGACTCACTAGCATACGAACCGGCAAAAAGGAGAGAGTATCCGAGTTTCTTCTCCTTCCCTCCTATCACATATCACATCGAGGCTAGGTAGCCGAATAGTACATCAAGGAGTGCTACTACAGCAATATAAGTCCTCTCAACTATCCTCAACCATTCGGTTCTTCCTTCAATCATATATACAGAGATCAAAAGTGCCTTGGAACCAAAGGCTTAAAGCTAAAAAAGAGTTCACCCCCCCCGGGTGCTGAACTGGGGGCTACATCTCTTGGTGCTCATGCTGGGATTCGAACTCGGGTACTCGCTAAGCCTGTCGTCGAGTAGGCTGGTTGGCGTATGTGTAAATTGATTGTTGACCATAAACCACTCCACCACCGATCCCAGTTTGACCTAACCTCTCGACCTAGAGAGGCGCCTGCTGGTGACGGGAATGGACCTGAGGGGGGGTATATACCCTTCTCGTATATTCAGATGGGAAGGTAGGTACGGTCGGTGAGAGGAGGGAAGGTACGATGTGATAGGTAGATGCGCTTCGCAGCAAGTTACACCGCAAATCTATTTGACGTCTATGTCCCCCAAACCCAATATGTTCGTAACTAACATTGTTGTGTACATACGCCCAAATGACCTTGTCCGTCCCTCCCCCTGAATCACACATTTCAAACTCCAAAGTTCCGAGAGTCGCCCGCATCAAATGAAATAAATCTAAAGAACCTTCCTTCATCGGTTCTCGAGCTCCAAAGCGCCGTCATCGACGTCGTCCTCGTCGCCGTCTAATATCTGCGCCCCAGCCGGCCTTCCACTACCGCTTCCGCCGCCGTTGCTGCCACTTCCACCTCTGCTTCCACCGCCAATGCCCCGTCGCTCTTCAAACGACGAAAGCTGAATTCTTCCGCCGGAAGCCATCGTCACCTTGTCAGAAACCCATCCAGCCGCACGCCGCATCGCACTCCATAACTTCTCCTGGCTCTCCGCAAAGGCAGAGTCGTCGCGCGGGTTCTCGGCGTGCTCGGCTGTGAACTGGTACTTGAGGCAGTCCTTCACCGTGACTAGACCCGACAGGCGGCCGTGGTACTCGACGAGCACGACTCGTGGGCCGATTTTACGGAATAGTTCCATGACGGTCTCGAGGGGTAGGCGCGGGTGCGCTGTGACGGGCGTGGTATCGATGTACCGACTGAAGTCAACCGACATGGTCGACATCGGGTCCAGGTTGACCGTCACGGTCGGCGTAAGCGGAGTAGTTGCGTTGAGTGACGCCGGCGGAGGTGAGAAGGTGCATCGGGCCTCCGGGTTGATGGGTCTCTCCCGCCGTACACGGTCAATGGCGTAGCGCAGCTCGGTGCGGCCGATGTAGCCGACGAGGATCTTTGAAGTCGTGTCCTCGACGATGGGGAAGCCCTGGTACTTGTCCTCCTTAAGAAGCTTCTCAAGCTCGGAGAATTCCATGCCGCTCACGGGCAAAGATGTAAGCTCCTTTCGCATCACTTCCGAGACGGGGACACCAAAGTTGTGCTCTTCCTTATTGTCTAGGAAGGGGAACCCGCTGAACCAGATCATCCTATCCGCAATGCCGCCCTTGCCGAACATTTCGCTGACGATCTTGGTCACGCCAACGACGATCATGGTTGGTAGAATGTACGTCAAGGCGCCGGTGAGCTCAAACATGATGACAACGACAGATACGGTTATGTGCATGATACCACTCAGCGCGGCAGCAGCGCCGAGGAAGGCGTATGTGCCGGGAGTGATACATGGCTCGTCTGGCTTACAAGCTGCGAAGAAAGCGCTCGTAGGGTTAGCCTCGTGAATGGCCTGAACAATGATACCCACTGTCCGCCCAAATGAAGCCCCAATGGCCATGGACGGAACGAAGATACCAGCGGGCACTTTGCAGCCGTATGAGATGATGACCAGCAGGATTCTGAGGATTGTAGCCAGAGCTAGTGACAAGATATTGGACAGTCTCTTGTCTGGCTCGCAAAGGCCGTGGTAGTCCTCAGCCCCTTCGCATTCGAGGAACAGAATTTCCATGCTCTCAGTCATGTCGATCCTCAGAAAGACGTTGGGATAGCAGATAATGGCAGTGCCGGCCGCGAGAATCGTTGCCTCCGCAATGGCGTATTTTGACAGGTACTTCTTCCTAAACGCCTGAGCCCTCAAATTCCACTTCATCACAAAGGCGCCGTATAGACCGCCAAAGATGCCCAAGATAATGTAAAAGACTACCTCAAAGAAGTGCCACGAGCGATCGTAGTGAACCTGGAACATGACGAGTTGTCCCGTCCTGAAGGGGTTCATGGCCGCAAGCACAGCCGTCGCCACAAGAGCGCAGAAGTAGCTGCGCCACAACGTCTTGAGGGGAAAGTAGTTGGACATCTCTTCTAGAGAGAAAAGCACTCCGCCAATGGGGCTACCGAACGCAACGGCGACACCAGCAGCAGCGCAGGCGCTCAGTATCTCCCTCGTCTTGGAGGCGTTGCGTCGGTACTTCTCGAATAAGCGAGAAATGACGTTTCCGGTACACACGGCGTAATGCACACTGGGACCTTCCTTGCCGACGGATAGACCAGAGGCGATGGCCAGGGGGAGACAGACGGACTTGATCACAAGCGTCCAGAATCCCAAGAACCCCTTCATAACGAAGCCCGCAATAATGCACTTGATCTCAGAGATACCCGATCCCGCGGCATACGGCGCAAATGACTTCACGAGAGTGGCCGAGGTGAAGGCGAAGAGGGCGCCGACGACGATGTAGATAACGTAGTTTGCTGGGCCGAACCCCGTCCAAGGATGCCACTCGTCACATCCATTGTCCTCTCCCCAGCAGCAAAAGTTCTCGTTCAGGTAAAACGCCGTTGTGCAATGTCCCATTTTGATATCGGACAACCACTCCGTAATGATGTTTAGAAATGCAGCATTGAGCCCAATGGCGATACCAATCAGCGTGACGACGAGCCAACCCTGCGCAGCGTCGTAGGACTCGCGCAGACGATACCTCCAACCCGCCGCCTGGCCCGTGTCGAGCATGCCCGCGCGCCGCCTCCGACGCAGCTTCTTGCGCGCCTGCTCCCTGGCAGCATCTTGTACCCAGTCTATGGTGGTGAAGTCCTCGTAGCGCTTGATCTCGGCGATCTCGTCCTCGATCTGCTGCTGCTGATGACTCGCGGGCGGGGCGCCGGCGGCCTCGTCATCGTGCTCGCTCTGCTCGGCGGTCGAGACAGCAAAGGATATCCTCGAGCTGATGGAAGGGCGCGGGGGCCGGTGCGGGCTGTGCGAGAAGGATGTGCTTCGGGAAGTCATTATCGCATCCGCGCCGTGCTCATGTTCGCGGCGGTCGAGGATTCGTGGTGAAGGGGCGGACGTCCCAATGGGTGTCGTCCTCGGAGTTTGGCTGCTTTTTCGTTTGCTTTGGCTCTTGTTGTAATAAGACTTCGTTTGGTATCTAGTTGTAGTTGTTCTCCAGGCAGGCCTTCTTTGCTCGCCAATCACCAAGAGTAGGTAGGTAGTTGTAGTCGCAGGCTGCGGCGACGAGGCTAGTCGGGTGAGCAAGGATGATGAGGACAGTGATGGCCGATTTGCCGTCTCCCAGCTAATTGGGGCACTGGGGACGCTGCGAACGTCTCCAATGTGGCGGGGGCTTCCCTGCAATTGGCGTTTAAGCTTCCACTTACCTCGCCCGGTACGCTGCACAACAGCGCGTTTTTAGTGGTCGCGTCCCAGTGGCCTTTTTGGCGCGACTCTATCAAAAGTGATTCCCTCTCTCCTTGACGACCACATCTGAAAAGACATCTCACATCCACGAATCCAACAACCAACGATAACACGACAGTAGCTAAGCAAGTAAATCATTGCGTCAAACCGTATCAGCTCAATTAGGTAGGACGAAGCAGACGCGATCGTTGACGCCGGTATCTCTCCAACCCCTTATTCTCCTCGGCGGGCACTCACGCCAAAGTCCAATCAGGTAGGCTGTTCTTCTTTTCCTTCACCAAGAACCACACTTCAAACCTATAGCACGGCAATTTTCGACAAGAGCATGAGACTTGGCATTGTGTGTATCACGAGGACGTCATAAGGTGAACCTCAGATGCATTCTTGGGCTCACTTACATGCACCCGGCCATTAGACTGGATTTGCATGAGCTCCGGAGATGGCCTCTGTTGCCTGGCCTTCGTTGGGCACTCTATGAGAGGTCGACCAAGTCCTTCAGTCAACTCGGTTCCATTCCACGTTCCCGCATATTTAAGCACCTTGGAAGGTCTTATCACCTTACACGAGCTCTCATACCAAAGCCCATGGTCTCCTATACCTAGTAGCTAACATCAATCAAGGCACATCACCTGAACCTCGTCTCCTGACAATACACCACTCACATCCCATCTCAACTCACAATGCCTCCCAACAACAACGCGATACCGCCCAGAAAGGAGGTCACAGGCCAGCCGGCCTTGCCCCGTTAGTCACTCACCTCCTCCTTCCACAGTATCACAACCTTTTCTGACAGCCCCTGACAGTGGCCCGCGTGAAGAAGATCATTGGCACAGATCCAGACATTGGAATCTGCTCAAACAACGCGGCTTTTGTAATCACTCTGGCAACGGTATGATGCTTCTGCCGACGCACTTCCTCGTATCTCTTCGAAGGCGTATACTGACTATTCACTCAAAAGGAAATGTTCATCCAGTACCTCGCCGCCGAGGGCCATAACATGGCAAAGGCAGAGCGCAAGCCCCGTCGTAACGTTCAATACAAAGACCTGTGTACGTGACTTTTGCGAAGTAATATCCTGCTTCTTCTTCAATCTTGCCTACGACCACCTCAAGGCCACCCCTGAGGTGTTGAATCTGAGTTAGCAGAAACAACATTGGAAAGCCACTAACAAAGCAAACGCACCCTCCAGCAACCGCAGTCAACCACCACGACAACCTCGAGTTCCTCGAGGACGTCATCCCCAAGACGGTCCCCTACAAACAAATCAAGGACTCGGCCGCCGCCGCGCGCCTCAACCCTAGGAAAGCCGACCAGGAGCCCAAGAAGCGGCAGTCGACCCTCAAAACCAAGGGCGCCAACGCAGGCGCTTCCAGCAACAGCAACGGTGTCAATGGCTCAGCCACCGCCGCCGTCTTGGACCCAGTCACGGCTGTCATTCACTCCGACGACCCCAGCGCCCAGCTGGTCGCCGAGGCTCGTCGTGCGGCTGGTGACGAGGACGTTGACATGACGGGATAGGGGAAAGTTCTAGTCCGTTCTTCTTCTCCGACACTCCCTTGGAGGGTCAGCCGCCCTCCCCCCTTTTTTCCTTGAGCTGAGTGGGCATCTGAAAGCTTGGCAGACTGTTGTTTGCGATTGTTTATACGGGATAGGGGCACCTTAGTCAATGAGCTTGGGTCTAAAGAGCCAATATCATAATAGCCAGAAACGCAACATTCACCAACGAGGGGGAAAGAGGACACAAAATATTACGAAGTGTACGATGAATAATTGGTACCCTTTTCTGCCACCGAATGAGTATCGAATGCTTCACTTCTCTCCCCAGATCCAACGAACCCTTCATACAACAGCAATAGGGGGAAGGAGTTCGTTTTTAACCCAAAGTATCCCTTTTTTGGTTCTTCATCAACAAAACAAACGCCAGTCCATGACATGACCCGTTTTTTTTCCGCAACCATAGTTGAAGTTGCCTCGTACCTCTCCCTCAAGTGCATCCTTCTTTCTCAAAAATAAGAGGAATCCGAGGGGGTGGGCCTTCCTCCTGCCGCAAACAAATCACTCAGTCCTCCATGGTAGCGTCCCCGTCCAGGTGTACACCCGCCGGGATAGTCCCCTCGGTTAACATCTTCTCCAGCCGGATAATCTCCTGCAGGCTGTCGGCTTTCTTGATCATCTCCTTCAACCGCTCCTTCTCTTTGTCCGTGAGCTTTATCCTCGAGAGCTTCGAGGGCGCGGCGCCGCCACCGGCCGTACCATTGGAGGCTGCGGCGGCGATGTCAAGCTGTTTGGACTTGTTGCCCATGATCTGAGAACACACGCCAGAATGAGTTTCGAGTAGACGTAAATCATGAAGGAGGGTTAGAAGAGGGCGTGGAACATACCTTGGCCGCTGCATCCGTAGGCTCCTCCGCCGTACCAAACAACTCCCTCGCCTTCTCCCTCTCCGCCTCCTTGACCTTTTGGTAATCCAGGAACCGCACAGTCGGACACCTCCAGACAACCCAGTATCGGTAGTTCTAAAGCCTCACTGTCAGCCTTCCGCCCCCCGTCGTGAATTCCCCCCTTTTTCCGTCAAGAAATGTTAGGGTAGGGTAAACAGTGAAAGCGCACCTCCTTCTTGGTCACCGGGTTATCCACCAACACCAAATGCGTCAACCGCTTGAACCCCGCCAACACGTCCAGGTCCGCGAGCTGCGCAATCTGGTTCGACGCCAGCACGAGCTGCTGCAGGTTCGGGATCGCATTGGGGAGCGAGGTCTGTATGCTCGCGACGCGGTTGTGTGCCAGCAGCAGCGTCGAGAGGCGCGTCGAGAGCGGGAAGTTGCCCAGGACCTGGATGTCGTTGTCGGTGAAGTCGATAGAGTCGTGGGGCTGTTGTTTGCGCAAGTTAGGAAAAAACGGTCCAGCCATGAATGATTCTTCTTTCCAGAGCTTTTAAACCAAGTAAAAAGTCTCAAGAAAAGAGGAAGGGGAGGGGGAAACTCACGCCTGCGACACCCAGATTCTCAATGGCCGGGATTCGATGTCCTATTCATTCCAACCGGCGCAAGACGCTATCAATTCTGGCCCTCAAAAAGTGTAGTATCTGCTCCTTTCACACAAAACGCACCTCGGAGATCAAGCTCTCGCTCCTTGAGCGGGTTCAGGTAGGAGAGCGAGCCCTTGATGAGCTCCGCCGTGAGCCTCATCTTCGGTTTTGGGCTTTCGGTTGGTGGCTATAGGTGATCTGGTTGTGCTGGGGGTTACCTCTGGGTTCGCCGTCTAAAGAAAACAATTATGATTCGTGGGCTCGGTGATGTTGCGACTCGGGTTTGATCGTCGAGCTGTGTAGTCGGTCAGTTGCGCCGCCGCAATTCTCTTTCGTCGTCGCGTCTTGGGGCTGGTCGCGTGGGTATAATAATGGGTGGACAACTCGACGAGGCTGAAAAGTTGGCGGTCGAACAAGGTGCCTAAAATTTCCCGCCTGATTAGAGCTGCCATATCCCCGCGATTTCGTACGGTGCATTTCCTTCCCAACACGGTCCGCTCTTCACCATAAGCACACTCGGTCTGTGAGCATTGATTGATCACGCACTGTGTCATCCACACCTTTCGACTGCGTCTTAGTCCAGCAGTGTTGAATAGACACGAACATATATTCAAGACCTGACACTAAATCAACGAAGATCCTAAAATCTTCTGGTGGTCTTTCAAAAGACCCCAACTCCTTACCCAATTTAGTAAAAATCTTGTAAAATTTATTCACTAGGTATCTATGTTCGAAGAACCCTCGACCAAACGCCCAAGAAGCAATCCGCTATGAAAACACAAACACTACGCCAGATCGGTCTACCGAGAGCGTCATGCTATACGGGAGTTCAAGCAGCGCAACATCCATAATCGAATCCAAGTGAGACCGCAGAAGCTGCTGCTGCTGAAGCGAAATCACAGTCGAGCGCGGCGGTCGCCCACTGGTCGCCGTGCCCTTTCCGCTAACCGCCGCATTCGGAGCCGTCGGCGCTTGTCGTGGGATCCTCTCCGTGTTCAGCGTCATGGCCGTCGTCGGATGAGAGGCTGTGAACGTCGGCTTCGGATCCTCCCCTTGCAGCCCGCTGTAGACCACGGAACTTTCTATGCGAGACAAGTCCCAGAATCGTAACTTCTTGTCCGATCCCGCGGTAACGATGAATGCATGCCGTACGTCGCGTGAGTCCTCCGAGGCGCCTGTGCCTACTACCATCGCACGAACACCTCGGTCTTTATTTCCGGTACCGCTTGGCTCAATGTTGGTAGCAAATCGCCCAAGCATACCTTCAGGCTTGTCCTCATCCACTTCCCAAGCCTCGTATCCCTTCGGGCCCTCCTTATTGCCTCCAACGCGGTAGATCTCTCTGCAAATTGTGCGCTCTAGGTCCCAGACGGTGACTTCGCCCTGGCCCGTTCCACCAGCAACGCAGATCCATTTGCCTCTGCCCTTGCTCGGGTGTATGCATAGCCTGTAGATGGAACTCTTGCCCGGAACGCCCCAGCCCTTGAGTCTCATTCGGAACCTTAGGTCCCAAAGGTCTATTACTCCGTGAGTTGTTCCTACGCATAACCAGTTTCTCTTACGATCGACACAGAAACACGTAGGTGTACCATGGTGGACCGGATTCTCCAGCGTATACAGCAGTGACATGGTCCGGAGGTCGATGCCGAGAATCCTGGAGCGATTCGTCGCAAGGAGCATCACCGAGGTAGATTCCACTTTGAAATGCTCACACCACACTGCGTACTCGTCTTCTGGAAGCTGATACTCCCGGAGAAGGCGGAGTTTCCCATACCGCAGCGTACCACTTGCCGAGACGGTTTCGACCTTGACGATGTGAACGCTTCCATCGCTGGCGCAGCTGATGAAGCAGTGCGTGTTCTCAATGAAGCACAACGCAAGCACCCTTGCCCCATCGGCATGCTTGTGGCTTTGCCTTGATCGGTGCGTGATGTTCTTCTCGAGGCGGGCACTATCCCAGACTCTGACGGAGCCATCATCGCCTCCTGTGATGAAGAACACATGATCTGGAGACACCACCAGACGGTTGATTGAGCCGGTGTGTTCAGCAAACGTAGCAACCATGCGTCCCTGTGGGCGCCACGGCTCGTCACCTGGCTGTCCCACTGAGCGATTCGTTTTCCTACGTGTGATAGGGGTCACCATCGGTCCGAACTCGGCGATATCGTGAGGGTAGTTGTCCTGGTACATCGAATCGAGCATTTTTAGAATGCTGGGGTCGGTTCCCTCGTAGGAGTGATTGGGTCTTAGTTTGGCCACGACACTTGCAGTGCTGGTTCGACGATCTTGTATGTTTGGCCGAGCAAGAGGGGCCGGGGCAAACGGACCTTCCACTTGGCCAACAGCATTTGCACCCGACATGCCAGTCTCTGGCACGCTCTTATTGCTGTCTTTACGGTCCAGAAGACTAAGAGCACTGGCCTGGTGGCGAATGGCCCTCCGAGTTGCATATGGCTGATCATGGATAGAAGCCCCATCGTCTGTCGGGCTACCAACCGTGAGCTTGCCCTGCCCAGTCGAAGCGCGTCTCGCAGGATCAATCTCTCTTACACGAGAAACATCACGCGAAGTAGACCCCTGGTCTTCCACGACGCGAGTCCGGAGACTGTTGAGAGCTGCAAACCGTCTCCTTCCCGTCGAGTCATCGATCGTCATGGAAGCATCCAGAAGAGCATCAGCAATGGTGTACGGGCCCTTTTGGTTTGACTCGGGTGTGAAGGTGGACTGCTGCAGGGGCTCCTCGTCAAAGAATACTGTCTGCGGCGTGATGCCCAGACTCTTGAGGGAGATCACTTCGTTGAGCTTGGCCGGTTCGCTGTCCATGCCATCTCGCGATTTCATCTTGCTGATTCGCCAGATGAACTCTCGCAAGACAAGGAGTTTGAACTCGTCGTCGGGACCGAGGCCGAGGTTCCGAAGACGCCCAAGCCATAACTCGTCTTCATCGTTCCGCGAGACTTTGCTCAGCGTATCCTTAGACGACCGACTGCTGATAGTCTTGGGGAGCGATCCGAACGAAAATGACCTGAGCTGCTGCGTCAGCTTCCAGAAGACGCCCTTGTCGGTCTTGAGAGCCCAAACTAGGGCCTGATCAAATACGGCTCTCGACATTGGCCGCTTCAAAGCGTCCAACAAACTGAGCTCTGAAAATGCAGGAACCATTCCAGTCTTAAGGTACTGTTTGACCAGAGGATACACGATGCACCTAACGTCTGCTGGAGACAAGAAACGAGTCGTCTCAGACAAGAACTCCGTCGCAGATTCCCGGATCCATTGGTTGGGATGCATCGTAAATCGAGCAACAACGTCAATAAGCTCCCAAATCTTGGTTTTGGAAAGAAGCCCCAGTCGTGCCAGCTGTGCCAAAGAATGCAGAGCTGCTTGTACCACGAACTCCTCTGGATCAGTAAAGGCCTGCACCATGAGCGGCAGCATGAACTCCTCGAGGCTGACGCTTCCCACCACGCTGGCTATGCTGACGATGGTTTCGAAGAATGCACACTTCAGCATCCAGTCTCGGTCGTTCAAGTAGGTGTTTAAATGGGTCAGAAGAATGTCGTTTGCCTCTGCGGGACCAAAGAAGAGGCACAGATCGGGCACAGAAGTCAAGAACGCCCTGCGAACAGAAACGTCCGAATCCTCCACGAGTGCCTTCGTATGAAGCTCGAACATCTCGTAGAGCTCCCGTTGTGCATCGTCGAACAGCCCGTCAAAGGCAGCCTCAGCTTCAATTCCTGGCTCGAGCTCAGGGTCAGCTACTGTCAGGGTTCCATCTGACTTGAGGGTTGCCGCGAGCTCCAAGTACCGGGCAGCTGTGGTCGCAAGGCTTCCGATACAAGACGCATAGGTTGCTCGTACCAACGGGCTGGCCGGTTTCGAGGGTGCAATCAATGCACTTTGCAGTCGAGGTAAGATGTACTCGACAAAGATGTGCGAGTTGACAGGAGACACCACTCGGACTAGGTGTAACAGCTGAGATATTGACCGGAGGGCCGCGATGACCACAAGTTCCGACTTATCATTAAGAAGCGTTATAAGGTATGGCAACACGCGGTCTAGCTTAGCTTCGTCTGTGATTCTCTCGGAAAAAGCGAGCAATACATCACAGGCTCTGATCTTCGACGCCGCCCTAGCCGTGTTACGGAGGGATGAGACAATCAGCGTGAGGAAGATTAAAGTCCCGTCGTCTTCTGGCGGGTCGGACGTCCCAGTGATGTACTGTTCATGGTTTGGTATGTTGAGGCGAACAGGGAAGTGGCCCAACCCCAGCTTGCCAGCCAGGGGCTCGACTTGCATCGGGCGTTTGTCGTTTGGATAACCGAGAAAGTAGGATATTTTGTCAAAATCGAGGAATACGCGGTCGATACGATCATCCGCTTCTCCTAAGTTCCTCGTCGCACCAGATATAGGACTGTTCCCAGATGAAGGATCCGTAATCAACTCCATGTACTGGTGAAGGAAGTTGTAGAAATACTCGGGAAAGACCTTCTTCTTCCAGAAATCCAAATATTGCTCTGCAGAGTACCGGCGTTCGGGGTCAAGCTGAATCATGTGCGATATCATATCCCGCAAGTCCTTGTCCGGGATACGACTAATCTGAGAAATGACTGGATCGTACTCGCCCTTGCGGAACTTGTATAATGAACTGAGTGTGAATATAGGCGACTCCAAGAACATCTCGGCAATGACGCAGCCGGCACTGAAGACATCCATAGCCCACGTAAGCTTCGCGTCCTTGCTGTTAACGTCCTCCGCTGCGACGAAGCGTTCGGGCGCCACATAACATGTTCGTCGTCCGGATGTGTCAAAGTAGTATGAGAAGTCGCCTGGATTGTCGTCGGGCAGCAGGATGGGCTTGAAAGGTGCAGAGAAGTCGGAGAGGTACAGCCAGTTACAAGATGTCACCAGCGTGTTCTCCGTCTTGATGTCGCCATGATAGATGTCTCGAGCATGGCAGTCGCGCAGGGCGCACAGCAGCTGGAAAGCAAGCCATTTCTTCTCGATATCCTCCAGGAACGGACGAGTACTCATGCGATCGTAAAGGGAGTTGTAGAGGAACTGTCGGACTAGGTAGCCATTCGTTTCGGTCTCGACGATCCGGTGGAAGCCCAGCGCATTGGGCACATCGGCCAGGCCGCTACGTTGTTCTGAGGAGAGTCAGTCATATGTTCAGCGATCTCTGCAAACGTTTCAGAGGCTGGCTCACTCTCTATGTCGCGTTTGTACTTCCCCAGAGGCATCGGGGTGTACGGCTTGACTAGGACTTTGACAAGAGCGACTCCATCGTGATGCCTCGCGCGTATGCTTTTCATGAAGCGCGCATTTCCGATACTCTTCTCGTACACAAGGTCGGAGAGCTCGGGTATATCGATGCCCGCAGAGCCTGCGGAGGGCGTCGCCAGAGAGAAACCTTGGCCCATGGCGGGCAGAGATAGCTCGACTGCTCGGGAAGCTATGCGATTACTGGGTCGGTGTGGTGGAGAGCGGTCATGTTGGGGAAGGCAAATCGCGAGAAGCAGTCATTTGACCTAGTTTCACCAACATACGAGACTCTATTTGTGGCAGAGTTCTCGTTGCGTCGTGAAAATTGACGAGTTGTTGGTAAAGATGCCTTGCAGCAGTGATGCAATCACGAGTGCAGTTAGGTCACCGTCCCCCAGATCAAGCAAGGTACCTGCCGCGGGCGGAACGCAGGCTGTCCACTTAAGCAATCAGTACCTTACCTTACGTGGTACATCGGCCTCCCGCCGTCTTTAACCTCCGCACCGCGTACCCGTAAACCTGGCCCGTGCTTCCACCCCTGCCAGGCCTAAGTTGAATGATTGAAGCTCACCCGGTAGCTTAATCCCATATGCATAGAAACTCGAAGGAGGTAGACGACAGCTTACAAAGCTCGATCTGCAAACTCTCATTCAAGCACAAGTGCTAACTCTGTCCGCGTCTACGGACGGATCAAGAATAACTTATACGCAAGGCTAATTATCTAGCAATGCAACCTGAAGGAGCCCCCAAAGCTGGTGTATCTACCCCCAGCGTCCTCACTGTGTCATGCTTGCTCAACCCATAGAAAAACCGTTTCGTATACTGATATTCCCAACTTCGTGATTGATGTGTATACTCCATTTTAAGCACCGTATTATCACAGTATCATCTAGACTCAAGCAGGAGTAATGCTTCCAAGAACGTCAGCAGTAGCTGCCCCAGACAGGTGGGTTACACACAGCTCTCGTACCGTAACATCAATCGGAAACCAGCTTAACCAAGAAAGTGAGAGAGAGAGACACACACAAAACGTAAGCTGCTTGTATAAGTGACAGCTTCCCAGCGAATCAGCGCGCAACAAGAGCGCCCAACGATCGCCTAGTTGCGAGATGGCACATGTCAAGATCTCCCCGAAGCGGAAACCTCCTCATACCTTACCGCGTAAGGTGGGAGGAGCTTGAAGAAACCAACCCCTCAAAAGACCCCCCCCCCCCAAACCCCCACCTCGACGCGCGCCGCAGCAGTAAGAACATAGAAGTCGAACGGCCACCGCCTTCGCCGGGAGGTAACCCGGCCGTCTCGGCGTTCCACGTCATTGGCGAAAGACAAACCTACTTCTTCCATTCGTACGAGATAAGAAGAAACGGCAGGTCTCAGAAGCCAGAGTAAAACCCCCCCTCTTTTTCGGAGAAACACCTTGATATTGGAAAGAATAGCCCGCCGGTATTATTCCCAAGCGGCAACCCTTTCAAACACGACAAGCTGCTCATTTTGGCAGCAAACCCTTCAACTTTTCCCTTTCTCACCCAATACCAGGCCTGTTCCATGATCCCCCAAACTGCGCAATCCGAAGCGAGGGGGAGGTAGGACAGCAAGAGTCATGACTGTCCATCAAAAGTGGATGACTCTGTAGATACAGTTCGTCTGAAGAGCTACGCCATACCTACGATGCCCATGTCATCAGTGTCAAGATCTAGGTCTAAAAGTCTCATGCCACCAAACTCTCTTTCCAGCCCTAGCCTCACCGCCAAATTCCACTTTCACAAACGCCCCCCCGTTGTGTCAGCATTTCTTATGCTTCTTAATTCGCGATCTTAATCTTCCTGGATCAGGGACTCTCCCGACGGAGCACAAGCTGAAAGAAGCTGCTCATGCGCGCGTGACCAAAAGAGTTTCAGCTCCCGATGCGGATGAAACCATTTAGGGTAGCATCAGCGGCACGAATACCACACTATCACGTCTGCCTCACAGCCGTCAGCTATAGGAAGAAGCCTCATCAGTGTGAGAGAACTCTCTTTGGTATTTGAGCTAAGTAAATTGAGCGGCTATCCAGTAGGTTACAGGAGGAAGCCAAAGTAATATCGTCAGGCCATGTGTAGCAGGATAGGTTTCGCGCCGCAACGGCCAACGATTAAGACGAAATCCGATTCACCTCCTCAAAACCATCTGCCCAGGCTTTGTCATTGTCCTGGCCTTCACCTAGTCGATCAAGAGTCGATGTGGCGACTAGATGACACCAAGGACGACGAACCAGACATATCAGCTGTTGCAGGCTCAGCTCTTCTGACCAAGAAGTCCGCCATTAAGTATGTCGCATAGGCCCTCCCCGACCTCTTACTACTCCACAAACATCAGTACCTCGTCACCGCACCATGGGTATATAAGTCGACTGTTCGAAATGAAAGGGGAGGGCGCATTGCGTGCGTGTTCGTCATAAAATTAAGATCGCGTATCGTTATCTCATCAGAACCACTCGCATGGGGTACTGGAACTGGTCTGTGGAGGCTTCCGAGTGGCCGTCGTGATTCGAAGCGATGCCGCGTTGAAGAAGAAAGTTTCGTTCGTTCGTCTAGGATTGATGACATTAGGCGGGTCGTCGCAGAAATGTAGTTACTTCGTCTCTATGTGCAAAAAGCCAAGGGAGTCAAGTGAACTGCGGTCGGTGGAAACGTTAAGCACGTTTCATTAAGAGTCGCTGGTCAATGTCGCCCGAGGGGAATTCCGACCTCTCTGTGAGGCCGAAGTCAATACAAGCTCGATGCCTCAACGCCGTAGCCCATGCTGAAAAGACAACTATTTTCGTTTAGGTGTATGCAAAACTCAGTAAATGGTCTTGCTTTTTCATGAAAAAGATGAGTGTCCTTGGTGAGCGCTGGAACCTTCAGTCGAGACATCTCCCTCAATAGTTTTCCTCCAGTGTTCTGGCAAGCAGACGCAAACAAGGGGGAAGGCCTTGATCTCGCCGCTCACAGGCGGCGAATTGTCTTGATGTCGGCCAGAGGTGTTGGAAACACCGCTGTCTCGTTGGGCCTGTCGTCGAGCTTCCCATTCATCGGCCCGCTCATCCATCAGAATACCCGTTGCCCAACCGTCATCCCAGATACCCACAATCTTGAGCATATCGCCGCGTTCGAGAGTGAATTCGTCGGGGGCACGGGGTTGGTAGGCCCAGAGTGTAGCGACTCTATCACCAGGGTGAATGTCGTCTTGAGAGTAGTAATCCTTGAAGAATGGCAGCTGCTCAGATTGCTGGCTAGCCATGCCTTGTGGGGACGACATTCCGGCGCTCGTGGGCGATTGTGGATCCGCGAGGACTGAGCTACTGGACAGAGATCCCGTCCTCCGGATGTTCGTGGGAGGGGGTCGTAGAACACCGGCTCTGGATTCCGACTCGGGGCTGTCTCCAAATTCAGACGAAGACGGATCGTCACCTCTCCTCCTGCCCGTCATATATCCTGCTGCTCCTCCAGCGGCGGCGGCCATGAGGGGGCCGCTGTTGCGACTAGGCGGGACAGGAGCTGGGTCTGATGCGCTCTCCAAAGCTGACATTCGGGCGATTCGGCCGCCGGGCAAGACTTCGTACCCGCTCGTGGTCTGGGCCGGTGCTATCTTAACCGTAGACGGTCCTTGCCTAGAGGGTGACGGTTGGTTGAACACACTGCCCTTCTGGCTCCCACGTCTTCTTCTTTTGGCGAGCAAGATGCAGGCGAAGATGAGGCCGGCAAGCAGCAGGGCGCCGACCACGCTGCCGATAACGATACCGGCAATGGCACCACCGGATAGCCCTTTGGATGCAGCTGCCGTATTTGACGGGGTCGCGGTCGCCGTTGCCGTGGGGGGTGCGAAGGTCATGGTAGGGAAAATGGAGGGTAGCGTGACTCCGGCGCAACGCTGGTCGATGTTCGAGTTGTAGCAGCATGTGTCAGTAGAGTTAATACCACCAGACGCGCAATAGGAGCACAATCCCACGGTGCTGTTGCCGTATCCACAGTTCTCCTTTTCGTTGGCGATGCCTTGAATGCAGTTGGATGATGAGAGAGAGCCGGCAGGCAGAGCGCAATTGGTGAAGTCTGCTCGGATTTGATTGACAAGATTGCTGCCCGGATTGCCACAGAGACTGCTGTCCGAGGTGAGCAGAGCCTCACTTTGTGCGAATTCGGCCTTTGATTCACGTTAGCAGCCGCAACTACTACTAATTCCATGTTTCACTTACACAAGTGTCGGCGCACACGGGTCGTGAGTTGGATGCAGTCAAATTGCATGCGTCGATCGAATTCTGGACAATTGAGTTGCAGACAACCGTAGCCGTGAAACGTGCATATAGCTCGTCCGGGTTGGTAAGATTGACATTGCTACAGCCAAGTAGTGTTTGATACCTGGGTACGTGTGAGCAAAAGCGTTTACGAAATCGCCGACGGATGAGCTTACTTCTCCCGCACATATGTTGTCTCAAGATAAGACGACATCTGCTGATCAAATGTTTCCCTGCTGGACACATACTGAAGGAAAGGGCTATCAAGGGTGGTCAGTGTTAGGTCGCGGAGAGTGGCGATTGCACAACGTACAAAATCCCCGCCACAAAGCCTGTTGTCGAAACGGATGCTGATTGAAAAGCTGAACATGTCGTCGATCCCTGCAGAGAAATACAGCTTGACTGTGCTGAGACCACTGCCGCGGACAGCACTGACGAAAGTGCTGCTCTCGCTATTTGACCCATCACTCTTCCTCTGCCTGTAGGCTTTCCTTTGCCGGTGGTTGAAATTGTCGTTCCGTAACTCGTGGCCGCCAGCTAGGAAGGCTTGATTTGAAGTTGTTGATCAGAGAAGGATCCCGTTCATGACTATCTTTCCAAGATGTCACAGATCGTCGTCCCGAAGGAATTTCTTGGTGGGCCGAACGGGAGATCGTCGTGAATGTTTGACAGCTAAAGTAAAGAGTGCCTGTGGCTCTGAGAGATGCTTGACGAGTGATAGTCGTAACCAAAAAGGATTCGGGCGTTCATTCAATTGATTTTGTAAAGAGGCCGAATCGTCTTCACTGAGCTGTTGTTGTTGTTGTCGTCGGGAAAAGAGGCGAAACGGGGAGTAGGTGGTTGCTCAACCGGTGTCAATTGAGGAAATAGCTCCAGGTGGGGACCAAGGAAGGTGAGATGCTGTCGAATGCTCGGGAATTGGGTCGCGATTAACGTATTGACATGGAAATCGGATTGAGATTTCGTCGCAGGAAGGAGGTTGAGGGTAGGTTGACCAAGAGATTTAGAAATAGGTACTCGAAGAACTGCACCACTAGGTCGGTGGGTTGCGAGAGATAAGAGGCTGAACGAGAGTAAGTAAGTGAAGGCAAACAAAGGTTGATTGACGATATTCGGGCAGGAATACAATTAGGAGGATGCAGTCAAGATCCGAGATTTGTAAGGAAATTCGACGTGTCACGGTCGGGCTCGTCGAGGCGAGAGAAGAAGGGAAAGGCGATGATGTTGTTTTGAGGCGGGACGAAGCTCGCAACCACACAAACACACACACTCACGCGCGGGAGGGAAAGGGAAGGGGAGACAAGAGGAGTAGTCGGCGGCAGGTACGGGAGGACCTTGGGGAAAATAGGGAAAATTTGGAAGGCAGCAAGCAGCGCGAGGGACATGGGATGGGCACATGGGCACAGCCGATTATCAGAGGTGCGGTGGAAGGTAGGTACCTTCCCAAGTCTTCCCACGCTTCCTTCCCTCAGGTTGACCCCGGGCCGGGACCTGGGTGGTGGACTATGGACCAGGCCCTGAATGGCGACGGCACGCGGCGGGAAGGTGCAACTAAGAGGTTTGGAGGTGTGGACTTTCTTCTCTGGTAAGGATGGAAGTTCTTTCTGGACGCGAACTGGGGCCATATGAACATGGGACATGGGACATGGATGCAAGGAGGCTGGGGCCCTTGCCTTCTTTGGGTCTCGAGGAGAGACTCTTACTCAGAAAGAGAAAAGGAAAGAGGTGAAAGCACAGCAGCCAAAAAGAAAGTCGCCCACCTCACGGCCATCACCCATCTGCAGGAAAGCCATCCGCGCGACTTTCTCTCCAATGAGAAGAAGCGACTACCAGAGACCCGTCAGCTGTGAACGATGTGAGTGGCTGCGCTACTCAAGAGGCACAGAGGCTACTCCAGTCTGGCCCCCATCTGTGTGGGCAACCGCTCAGAAACTCAGGTAGGTACTATGTATTCCGCAGGTGCTGCAAGTTGTAACCGGGAAGGTAAAGAAAGTTGACGGTAGGAACAAGCGGTACGTACAGCCCCCCTCGTACCTGGCAACATACCAGCTACCCCTGCTCTTCACGAGAACTTGGGAAGCAACGGCCACCGGAAATGTCAGAAACAGGCAAGGCGCCTTGATCATTCAAAATTGGTGGAGCAGGGGAGCAACTACAAGCTGACAGGGGCGTCTCAGGGTCTCCCCTCGTCGGCCATGGATCAAACTGCCAACACTGCTTCCCCAGCACCACGTCCAATCCCCTCTTATCGTTGGTTTCTACTCCGTTTTCTCCCCATTTCAATCCGTCCCCTCCGTCGCTATGGATATATCCCATTTGCATAAACCACAATAAACCCCTTCATCGCAGCCGTGGGCCGTGGCCACCAGCAGGAACTTCCCCCTTTCATGGGCATACGGAGTAGACAAGGCCCGTGGTTCGGCTCGTCAACTTAACCTCAAAGCTGTCACCGTTGTTGTTGTTGTTTTCTTCATCATCTGCTCGGAACATTTCCAAAGGTCCCGTCCCGAGTACTTGGAATCTAAGCGCCTCGACGCCGGCAGATTCTACGGATACATCTGGAGAGACAGGAAGACGGTTGGTCACCTACCGTTTCTTTCCGCCTCCTTTTCATTTCCTTAACTTCACTCTCAGAGACACTCAATCTTAGGGCACCAAGCCATCCTACCATCCGTTTCTATTTTCAAACTTCCACTGCTCACGTCTACGTTGTATTTTCGGCGTCACGACACCTATGTGCTGGCAATGTGGGCAATGAAAACAAACACCACCTGAAGATGACGAGGAAGACTGGGAACATCAATGGAATGGCTTCCACTATGGAGGGACTATCCCTCTTTCCCCGGCTTTGTCAGGCCAGTGCGGCAATGGCGGGAAATCAGCCGTCGGAAACACGTCCTCGTCGTCGTTGATCAATCTTCACACCACACGGTCTTCCTTGTCGAAGCTTTATTATCGCGATGGTTGGCCCGTTCGTGTCATTCGCTGCCATCCCATCTTCGATAATGGCTGTGATGGGAGGTCTAGCCAAATCGCTCAGCATGTCAACAACAAAATTGAAGAAACCCATCAACTGCAAACGCTCGTGGCAACGTTGGCAAGGGAGAGCCATGTCTCGAGGTCCCATGTGCCGATACACGCTTGTTGGCAGACTGTCTCACGGCTATCGACTCGTGTTTCAACCCACTTTGTCCTACACACTTACTTCCTCAGCTTCTTCAAGACATCTCGCAGGCTCACAGTCGGTACGGATACGAATACCTACACGCCGTCCAAGCCGTTTCCCCTCATCCATCCGTTGTGATCTTGATGCATATTATGGGGTACGGCCGGCACCCTCCCCGCCCGAACACGGTTCACAAGACGGTTGTGGGCGACAGCTCGCATACTGGCTGGTGCAGGACGGCCGAAATCGGCAAAGTGGACAACTGCATCCACCAGAAAACGATCAATTAGGGAACGGGCAACAATCTGCACAACGAGACTCATTATGTTTGCACGGTGACTGGGCGTCGGTGTGGTGCCTTTCTCACCCTCAGGCTTGTGCAGGTACATGTGTCCGCAGAGTCACACTGCAGCAGCGCAGCTGTGGCGCGGCGCAAGATACCGTTTGCTGCTCGCAGACTGCAGCCATGGCCATTACATTGGCATTGCCATTTGAGGTCCAACAAGACGATGACGCGAGCTGTCAAACTGCAAATTTCCATCATCGTCAGCCCAAAAACAGAGCTCCATAAGCTAAGTGAGCATAAACATGGTATCCATTCAGCGAAGAAACATCCACAAACTGCCGAATAGACTCGAGGGGCAACCAAGGCGGTTGACAAAGCGGAGTAATAGGCGAAATTACCACGACCTCGCGCATGTCTCAACCCCCGCGATACTGTGCTCTGATTGGTGAGGTTCACAATGCTTCAGGATTACAACAGGGGTTGCGAATACAGTGGAGAAAGAGCAGCGCAACTCCACGGCTCCCTGACCCAGAAACCGTGTCGGCTACTGGCGATAGCAGCGTTTGCGAAATGAAAGATGGTCCCAGCGCTGCTTCTACCTTGCGTGGCACGGACAAGGCCTAGCCACTTCGTCGGATTGCTCCCAAGGATGAACGCGCCGTTTGGACGATCTACCCAATGACAGCTCGCCTCCATTCCAACCCCATCATATCTCACCTAGGTCGCCAGTCAGCAGCTCTGAGTTCTCGAGGTCGGTGTTCGAGGCTTCGAGGCTTCGAGTGCGAATTGTTCAACACTTGAATCCGATAATATCGCCGATCATTGTCGTGTTTCAAGTCGGACCTTTGGCGGGATTCCGTATCCGTAGACCAAGATTTCGGCCGTTTGTTCACCACGCGGCCAGCCGTTCCCGCTGTCACGGAGAACTCACTCAACCCTAAATCGAAGCACGTGCAATGATCAACAAACAAAAATGGAACTGGCGTGGGATGAGTGAGAAACATCGCAAATCGTCGAGCTTGAGGATCTTCAAATGCTCGTCCCATTTTCACTGCCAATCGCTTGGTGTAATACACGTCAGCCGACCATGGAACAGTTCGGATCCGAGGTCAAATGCTGACTTCGGGTAAGCACGCTGAAAGTCTATATCAACACGTCTCGCGGCTGTTGGGAACAACAGGCTTGGTTGCACGTAAGAATCTCCTTGCCGTCTGTCCTCGGTTATGATGACAGTCTCATCTTCCCTATTGAGTACCAGCGATGCTGTGGATGAGGGGAATCCCTTGCATCGACAATTCCCAGGCTCAGCCAGTCGCATGCGGAGTCTCTGCGCATACTGCCTCAGTCCGGGTTCAATCGGGCGCAACGACTCTAAAGTTCTGCCACAGTTCGGACCGCTCTTTCATGTCTTGAGACAACGGCGCCACGCAGCATGGTTTATCTTGCACGTCGTGGGAAGCAGAAGGATTCGAGCATGCATGTTGCCGCTGAGTCTGAGGCTAAAATGCCCTACCATTGGCTTTGTGTCGGCTTGTCGTCAAAAGCTATCAGCTACTATGCTTCCTACTTCAAAAACGTGGCAACCATTGGCCCCGTCGAACTAAAATACCTATCCACACGTCCAACAAAGATCAACAAAGGAACGTTTCTGACTTGAGACCGTTGCTCCCCACGCTACTGCACATAACGGCGTTCGAGTGACTGGTTACACTGGGTATCCCTTAAGTACTCAGTACACTTTACGACTCCGAGTGTCTTGATTGCCTTGTCTAGGGACGAACTGAAGGAAACGGCTCCGCTGTCAAATTGAGAAACGACGGCCGTCGGCAACTACTCGCGGAGCTGCGTTTGAGAAGCGGCACGCAGCAAATATTCCTTGAGGACTGCTGCGGCCTCGCCGTTATTGCCTTTTATGCGG